AATATAGTTAATTATATATATTAGTAGTAATTAATAAATAATAAGGGTAACTATAGTTCTTTATTATATATAAAGAAAAGAAGAATAATTATTATAGGTTAGTTAGTTAAATAACTAACTTATTGCCTATAAATCCTTAGAGAATCTATAGCTAAATATCTAAGGATTTGCTAGCAATAAGTCATCAAGGTTAACCTAATAACTCTAATATTTATCTGCAATAGTCAATATTACAATAACTTTATAAAACTTAGTACTATAAAAAAAAGTAACTTATAATAAATATTATAGTCTTTTACTAGTTATATAAATACTATAAGATTTTTAAAATATAGTAAATTTATAGTAGTAATAACCTAGTAGATAGATTTATAAAGTTATTACTAAATAATATATTAGAGAAGCTAGTTAGTAATAAGTAGTTAAAGATATAAATAAATAAATAAGTTTCTTATATATAATAGACTATATAAGTAAAAGATATTAAATACTTTTTAGTTTTTTATTTTTATTATATTCTTTAGCTATTCTTTTAGGTATAATTAATTAAGGGATTTCTAGTACTATAGAAAGTTACTAGTGTTATAATATTAACTATTATAGATAAATATTAGAGTTATTAGGTTAACCTTAATAACTTATTACTAGTAAATTCTTAGATATTTAGCTATAAATTCTCTAAGGATTTATAGGCAATAAGTTAGCTATTTAACTAACTAACCTATAATAATTATCCTTATTTTATATATATAATAGAGAACTATAGTTACCTTTATTATTTGTTACTTACTACTAATATATATAGTTAACTATATTAACTTATCCTTTACTGTTATTAATATATATATTATCTTTATAGGATTCTAAAACTCTCTACTATTTAGTTAATAGTTTATAGACTACTTACTCTAGCTATACTAAGGATTTATTTATATATATATTAATAATATTATTATTTTTAGTAACACTATTAAAGACTATTTTACTTATCTTAAGTAAGTATTAGAGACTCTCTATAAGGTTAGTGTAGCTATAAACCTAAAAAAGACCTTTATTATATTTCTATTAGTTTATATATTAAGATTTAAAGTTAATACATTAGGACTATATATAACTAAGGATTATATAGTAGCACTAGTAAAATTAAAATACCTAGATAATTAAGCTAATCTAGAAATATTTCTTAGAAAAGTTAGCTTTTTATATAAATTTATTCTATACTATATATAGAAAACTAAAATACTTTAATAAAGGAAGACCTTTATACACTAAAAAAGGCAAAATAATAGACTACTACTAGTAGATAAAGTACTAGCTAAAGGAGTATAAGACACCTAAGCTAAGAAGATATACTTTATACTAACTACTATAGAGAAGGATGTGTTTAGGCTACTACTAAATTAGCTTATTATAGAAATAAAGCTATATTATTATAATCTAGATAAATTAGTGTTCCTAACCCTTAACGTAAGTAAAACAGGTTTTAGTGTCTTTTTGTTCTATCTAGTAGTTCTATAAGATAAAAGCTATATTTCTTTAGGTATAATATAACTAGTTATATTTATTTCTAGGAAATTATTAGTAGTAAAATAAAGATATAGTGCTATAGAACTTAAGGTAGTATACATAGTTTAGGCTTATTAAAAGCTATAAGTGTAACTATAATTATTATAAGTAGTAGTAGTAGTTCTTATAAATTATATAGTAATTAAAGAAATTATTAAAAATACCTCTCTATAATCTATAGATATTACTAAGCTTTAACCTTAATTAATAAAGGTATCTAACTATCTTAGCTAGTTTAACCTTTAAATCTACTATATTCTAGGCTATATTAACCTTATACTAAATATATTATTAGGGCTACTAACTATAGATAACCTTAAGTTAACTAAACTAATAATAACTAATATATTAGTAAAAGTAACCTATATATCTAAGAGAAGACTTATAAAGAAGAGTTAAGATTTTAGTAAACTAGATAATATATAGAAGTAAATAGGCTTTACTTTAGGGGTACTAGAGCCTAGTTTAGCTAATTTAGATATATATTATATAGTAGTAGCTTTTATAAACAAGCTACACTTTATAGATCTTAGGATATTAAATAACCTAAAAGACTAGATCTATACTAGCTATTAAAAAGAGGAGTATTTTATAAAACCTTTTACTAAACTAGATAAACTAGACAAGATAAAGACACCTAATAATAGGACAACAGTAGTAGTAAAATAACTAATTAGTTTATAGATAATAAGGTAGTATAGTTTACTTTACTATACTAGTCTAGACAGTTATTAATAATTAGTAGGCCTAAATTCTATAATTTAGATAATATATTAAATAGTTTATAATAATAACTACTATTATAGCCTATAACGTATACTTTATACACTAGATATATTTATTATAAGGAATAAATTAAATTAGGTTAAGGTATATAAGAAATAGTGCCTAATTTATCTAGAATATAAGATAAGTTAAAAGTAGTAGATAGGCTAGCTTCTTCCTATTAAGCTACTACTATAGCTATTTATAGTTATTACTAGTTATAGATTTTATTATTAGTCTACCTTTAGTCCTAGCTAAAGGATCCTTTTAGTAAAACACACACAATAAAATTAAGGTAGATATATTTAATATACTATTAATAGTATTATATAATTTTCTAAAAAAACTATCCTAATACTAGGTTATATAATATATATAGCTACTAATTAAAGTAGACTACTTCTATAAGCACTTTAGTTATATAATTAGGGTATTTTATTATATATTATCTTTAACTAAGATAGGAAATTTACCTTAGACCTATAGTAAAGCCTTATAAAGGCTCTTAATATTAATTTAGTAATAGCTATAGCCTACTACCTATAGACAGATAGTTTATTAGAATATAAAAATTAGGAAGTTAAAATTACTATTAGGTATTATTATTCTATATTAGATGTACTATAGATAGATATTCTAACTAGATTATAATACGCCCTTAATTAGGCCTTTATAGCTACCCTTAGTTAATCCCTAAATAAGATAATAATAAGTTTTAAGCTATAAATAGCACTAGATATATTAGTAAAAATAAAGAATAATTACTAACTAACACTAGAGACTATTAATATATTATATAAATTATATTTATAAGACGCTTAACACTTAGTACCTATAGTAAACAAGGTAATATATACTTATTATAATACTACTTATAAACTTTATAATTTAGTAATTAAGGACAAGGTCTATTTAAAACTATATTATAGATACTAGTCACCTAGTTAGCTACTAAGGAAATACTTAGTGTAATAAACTAGGCTATTTATAATACTAGAGAAGTAAAGACTATTAGCGTATAAGTAAGACTTCTTATAGGTATAGAAAGTTTATTTAGTTATTTCTATTACTTAATTATACTAGCCTTAAAGGGTCTAGATCTATTTTACTACTAGTAACTATAGCCTAGCCTAGTGTAAGTAAAAAGTAATATAGATAAATAGAAGTTATATAAGATCTAGGTATTACTTAATAAGTAAATTATACAGTATAAAGGAAAACTATAAGTTAAATACTTAGTAAAGTAGAAAAGATAAAAAGATATATATAATAAATAATACCTAAGAAATTTACTTATATAAAATACTAGTGACTTAGTTAAGGGATATAATAAGTGTAAGCTATTAAGAGAAGTAGATTATACTTAGTAAAATAAGCAGAGAATTACAAAAAAATACAAAATATAATACAAATACAAAATACAAATACAAAAATACAAATACAAATACAAATACAAATACGTATTTGTATTTTATTTTAGTTTTTCTTAAATACATGTATTTGTATTTAAAATACAAATACATGTATTTGTATTTATATTTTTGTATTTAAAATACATATCGTTATTTATTTTTTTCTTCCTTAAATAAATTATATAAAAATAACTTTAATAGTCTATATAAACTATATATACTAATAATACTGTATTTTATAAGATATAAGTTATATATATTTAGATATATATTATAGTATTTCTATTCTTTATAAAATTATAAGATATAAGATCTAAACCTCTAAGTATAACTATAGTATAAGGGTATAATTATATTATAGTAATAGTTATAGTTTTATAAAATCTAGAACTATAACTATTAGTATAATATAAAGGTATAGTTATAGTTTTAGATTTAGTTTTATAAAATTTTAAGGTATAAATATAGCTTAAAGGTATATTTTTAGTTATACTTATAGTTTTATAAAATTAAAAGATATAACTATAGCTTAAGGGTATAGTTATAAGTATATCTATTAATATAGTTTTATAAATTCTTAAACTATAACTATAAGTATAATATAAGAGTATAGTTATAGTTATAGTTATAGTTTTATAAATTTAAGAGGTATAAATATACCTTAAAGGTATAGTTATAATTATAGTTATAGGTATAGTTTTATAAAATCTTAAACTATAACTATAAGTATAATATAAGAGTATAGTTATAGTTATAGTTATAGTCTTATAAAATCTTAAACTATAACTATAAGTATAATATAAGAGTATAGTTATAGTTATAGTTATAGTTTTATAAAATTAAAAGGTATAACTATAGCTTAAAGATATAGGTATAGTTATAGTTATAGTTAAAGTTTTATATAACTAAAAGGTATAACTACAGTATAAAGGTATAGTTATATTTATAGGTTTATATAATTAAAAGGTATAACTATAGTATAAGGGTATAGTTATAGTTATATACTAAATATATAGTTATAGTAAGTTATATACTAAGTAAAAAAAGTATATATAGTAGTATTTTACTTCTTTATTTTTCTTATAGTAAATAGTAACTTACTTTCTTATATACTTTAAAGAATACTATTATATTAATAATAGTAAAGATTATAAGAATACTTTTAACTATTTATTTAACTATTAACTATCTTAACTACTTTATTTTACTCTTTATTAAAGAAATATATATATATATATATATATATATAATAAAAAAATGGCTTCTGAATCCGGCGATTCCTTCTACGCTAGTGAATCCTTAGCACCTCTCAAGCAGAGGATTCTATTATTAATTCCTCTCAGATATCAATTAATAGTACTAAAAACCAGTTTTTATACGCCCATAAAATAGAAAATCAAAAAAATTATATCTTTAAAGGCACTAAGCAGTATCCTATTACTAACGGTTTATTTACTTATAAACTATTACCTATTAATTTAAGTAAAGATAGGGAAATAGAATTAACCTATAATATTAAAGGTTGTAATAAGAAATTTACTACTAAAGCAGCTCGATTTCAGACGTCTAATGCAGTAACTCACTATAAAAAAACCCACCCTATAATAGCAACATCAGAAAAAGAAGAACTAGATATAGATAAAATTAAGTGTAAGTTACTTTATACTTCTATATTATTACCTTCTTTATATATAGTAATATAACTATATATATATATATATATATATATTAATAATATATATATTATAGATTTATATATTATAGATTTATATATTATAGATTTATATATTATAGATATATATATTATAGATATATATATTATAGATATATATATTATAGATATATATATTATAGATATATATATTATAGATATATATAATAGTTATGTATTATTATAACTACTACTCTTATTATAATAATAATTATAATTAATAATATTATTATTATTTACTTACTAACCTTTTAATAGTTCAGGACTATATAAAGAATAATAATAGAAGTAATATTACACAAAGCACTATTAATGACTTTATGTCTAATACACCAAATAAACGAAGATATAGAGAAAGTGGTACTATTAATAATTATAATAATATAGAAGAAACAGAATTCTATAATTATATTATTAATTATCTACTACAATTTAATATACCTTATAGTAATATTACTTCTAATGAGTTTAATTCTTTATTATCTTATTTAAATAAGTAAGTTAGCTTTTAATTATTACTATATATATATTTATATATATATCTATATATTTTACTAATATTATCTTGATATAGCTCTAGTCCTACTGTTAATTATAGAGGCTTAACTAAATACTTAGGTATTAAGTTTACTAGCTTAGAAGCAACTATTATATATAACCTACAGTAACACTTTTTAAACTATGGTTATATATCTATTCAGCTAGATATATGGACCTCTATAGATAATAAGGCCTATTTAGGGGTTATAGGCTCTTATATAGATAACTCTGCTAAGTTAAACTATATACAATTAGGTATATTAACTATTTCTTTTATCTAAAACTAGTTATTAATAATTTTACTATTATTAACTTATTATAAATATATATATACTAACTATTATAACTTATTTAGGCTTTGAATACTTAAATAGTGCACATACTGGCTTATATATACAAGAAGTCTTTGAAGAAAGTATTATTAATAAATATAGTATACCTAAAGAAAATATTATTAGGTAAGTGTTTTATTTTTTACCTTAAGTATATATATATATATATATATATATAGTTAACTAACTATTTAATTTCTTAGTATAACAAGAGATAACGGCACTAATAATAATACTTTTTTAAATAGCTTTTTACTAAGTTATAATACTAATAATAGTATATCTTTATATGATATAAGATGTATAGCACATATATTAAATCTAGTAGCTAAAGCTATTATAGATAAATATATTAGCAGTATAGTGTTAGATAAAGATATATCTGAATTTAAAGCAGAATATATCTTAAATAACTATACAGGCGCTTTAGATAAATTATCTTATAAAGATCAAGAAAAAGTATTAAAAAATAACTATAGTAAGTACTTTTAATTATTATTATAATAATTAATATATATATATATACTTAGACTAATATTATAATAGGTAATATTGGAAAGCTGAAAAGATTAGTAATACTACTAAGAAATAATACTATATTATATGAAGAATTCCAAACTGCTATTAACTACGCAAAAAAGGGTAAAGAATTCCCTGTTAATAGTTATAAAACAAAAATACCCCTCTGTAAGTAACTATTTACTACTATATATAATATATATATATATATATATACCTACTTATATAAATATATTTATATTAATATCTATATATATATACCTACTTATATATATATATTTATATTAATATCTATATATATATACCTACTTATATTAATATCTTTATATATATATATATATATATATATAATACTATATAACCTAATAGTTACTAATCTTCCTCTAGGTAATGAGACTAGATGGAATTCAGTATATCTAATGCTTAATATAGCTATAGAGCTAAAACCAGCCTTAGATATACTATATAAGTTAACTAAAAATAAGATATTTAGGATTATTTATCCTAATATTAATGACTGGATACAACTTACTTATTTAAGAGATATACTTCGAGTTTTTTATAGCCCTACTATATATCTACAAAGCCGGAGTTATATAACTATTAGTACTACTCTTAGTATAATAGGGAATATTTATTATCAACTATTAGATATTAAAGCCCTACATACTTCTAAAGAAAACCAAGTAGATGAAGTAAGTAATTATTATTTAAGAAAGTATATATTTAAGAAAGTATATTCATATATATATATATATTATAGTATTTACTATTAAAATATATAAGCCTATATATTAAAGCTAGTATATATACTAATCTTATATTTATTATATTAATAATATTCTTTTATTTATTAAATTAATACTATTATTATATTTCTTTTATTTATACTATTTAAATAGTATATTAATAACTATAGGAATTCTACTAACTATTTCTTTCTAGTTTAATGAAACTGAATATCCTTATTCTTCTATATTTATTAAAGCTATAAATATAGGGTTACAGAAGCTTGAAGACTATTTTCCATACCCTATTACGCCTAATACTTATTATAGTAAATATAAGCCTTATTTAATAGGGTTTATTCTAGACCCTAGACTTAATTATAAAAGTCTTAGAAAAAATAGTCTAGTATCCTTTATACCTAATAGTATTATAACCTTAGCAAAAAACGACTTAGCAAGGGAGTTTAATAGGTAAGTTAAATATAAAGTTAATATATATATATATATATATATAAATTATAAAACCTTTATTAATAGTGATATTATTTTATAGTAAATAACTAACTAATTAATAGCTTAAAAAACTATATTATTAATGATTTATTAATAAAAAATCAAAAAGGTCTATACTTAGAATCTATTAAAGATAGAATAAGTATAGAAACCTTAACTAATAGTAATAATATTACTACTAAGAATAAAGGAAAAAATAAAGAAACTTTACTTATTAATACTACTATAGAAACTTCTACTAATACTATTAAAAGTAAAATTAAGCTACCTAATAATAAGGTTAAAGAGGAATATATTAGTAATTTATTTCCTATTCAAAGTAAACAAGAAAATAAGAATATACAAAAGGATAAATTAAATAACTACTTTAGAGTTAATATTCAAGGAGATAAAGTAAGTTAATTTATTATTATTAGACCCTTTATTATTTATTAGTAGTAAATAATATTACTAGAAAGAATATTAACTACTAGTAATAATATAAACTATAACTCTATAAGTAATATTATTAACTACTAGTATTAATATTAAGTTATTAACTACTAATATTAATATTAACTAATAATTTACTACTAAAATAAGATTAAATACTAATATACTATAACTAGGTTAACCCTATTAACTAGTGGCAAGATAACAAAGTTAAATTCCCTATACTAAGTATTATAGCTAGAAAATACCTTGCTATACCTTCAACTTCAGCTACAGTAGAAGCTAGTTTTAACCAATCTAGTAATATAATAACAAAAAGAAGAACTAGACTTACCCATAAAAACAGAAGGCAACTAGTACTATTAAAGAACTAGAATTCTATTAATAATAATAATAGTAACTTAGAATTAATTAATCCTAAGTTATATAGTGATTTATTTGATTATTCTGAAGTTTCAGATGATGAATTAGATTTTACTATAGAAGAGGAGGATAATAATAGTATATATATTGAAAACGATATAGAAGAGGAATTAGAAGAAGAAATAGAAGAAGAAGAGAATAATACTTTAGTTATAGATTATTCTAGTAATAGCTCTGATATTCTTTAGTATATATATATATATATATATATATATATATATATATATATATATACTAATACTATTAGATATACTAGATATAGATAATAAGAATAGTTAGATTTAAGATTATAGTTATTTTATACTTAAAGATTATTTATTATATTTAATACTTAGTATTACACTATAAGCTACTATATATTACTTACTTATAATTTTATTATTTATTATTAATAGTAGTATATAGTCTAGGTAATTATATTATATTCTACTTTATATTATAAAATAAGTAGCTAAATATATATTATATATATTAATAATATAATTCTTAGTTTATTAACTTAAAGGCTTATAACTAACTAAAAGTTTAAAAATACAGTAGAAATATAATAAAAGAAATATAATAGGTTTAATTATATTTTAATATATAACTATTAATAACTATAAATAAAGTGTAATAAAATACAAAAATACAAATACAAATACATGTATTTGTATTTGTATTGTATTTCCTTTTAGTAAAATACAAATACAAATACATGTAATGTATTTTTCCTCTAAAATACAAAAATACAAATACATGTATTTGTATTTTTGTATTTTGTATTTTTGTAATTCTCTGGTAACTAAGGTAGTTATATTAGTAGTCTACCTTTATTAGCCTTATATATTAGTAAAGGTCTAGCTTTACTTTATTACTAGTTACTATAGTAATTAGATATACTATATATAGTCCTTTACTTTTTAAATTAACTTACTTTATAACTTATTAGCCTATAAATTTATATATATTAAATACTAAGGAGTAGTTATTTACCTTATAAATATAGTTATATAACTTAAGTAGTATATATAATACTAGGTTATAGGAAAATAATAAGTAATAAGTAATATTATATAATATAATAGCTATATTATAGTTATTTACCTTTGCCTTAATAATAGTATTACTTTATTCTTTTATTAGTATTATTATTTTACTAACCTAAATAAAGTTATTTAGTTTTACTAGTAATATATAAGTAAAATAATAGTATAAATAGAAAATATAAAGTATTACTTCTAAATTAAAGATAATATAGTCTTTAAGTAAATATATACTTACTATAAATACTACTAACTATATAAATAATACCCTTTTTCTTATTTATACTATTAATAGTTATTACTTTACTTTTTTATTAGGCTATTTTTTAGCCTTCTTTATTATATCTATTTTCTTTAATTTCTTTTATATAGTAGTAGCTAGTATATTCTCCTCTTTAAGCTTCTTGTTAGAATAATTAGCATCCTTAATATCTAGGTAGATCTAGGCAGATATCCTGCCAGGATATCTAGAACCAGAACAACTAGGACACTAGTTATAGCCCCTATATATATTGCCTATCCAGCTAAACCCCCTCTTCTAGATTCCTTCTACTCTTTAGGTAATAGTAAATAATTAATTAAAGATCTATTACTCTAACTAGCTAAAAGGCTTTACTATTATTAGTAGACTACTTATTATACTAACACTAATTAGTGTTTAGTTCTACTATAATAGTCTAGCTAGCTATTATAGTAGAATTAACTATAGATTAGTAAGGTTACTTATAGAAGAGGTAACTATTACTAGTTAACTATTTATATACCTAGAGTAGGCAAAAACTAAAAAACGCCTCTGTAAATACCTTTACTATAATATTATACTAATTACCTATTATAATAGGTTAATTAATAAATTTATAACTAGTCCTTTTAACTAGTAAAAACCTTGTTAATTTATGTCTATTATATAAGCTTTATTACCTTTAGAAGAGTACTTTTAACTACAAAAAACCCCTTAATTTATACACTAAGAAAACTAGCAAGAAAATTACATATCTACCCCTATTTCTACCTAGCTAACCTAGCCTTACTTATTAACACACTATTAGATAGTTAGATATAGGGCTATTAGATAGTTAGATTATTAAATAGTTAGATAGTTAGATAGATATATAGGCAGAGGTCTAGTTTATAAGAGAAAGTTGCTAGTGTTAGAATAATTAGTATCCTTAATATCTAGGTAGATCTAGGCAGATATCCTGCCAGGATATCTAGAACTAGAACAACTAGGACACTGGTTATAGCCCCTATATATATTGCCTATCTGGCTAGACCCCCTCTTCTAGATTCCTTCTACTCTTTAGGCAATAGTAGATAATCAATTAAAGATCTATTACTCTAACCAGCCAGAAGGCTTTGCTGTTATTAGTAGACTACCTGTTATACTAACACTTCTTCTTTATATATTAGTTAGTTAATAATTTATATATATAGTTAACTACCTTATATTTTAGTCTTTATATAAACCTTAGCTATACTTTACTTATAAGTAATACTTTATAAGTTTATAGCCTATAAGACTATATAAGAGGCACTTAGGTATATTAGTAACTTTATATAAAGTATATTTTTATAAGGCCTATAAGCTAGTTTCTTTTTTACTTAGTCTATATTATTACTATAAATTACTATAGTAACTAGGCTAAATACTTTATATACTACTTTTACCTATAGTTACTTTAGCTTTACTATAATATAGGCCTAAATTATAAAGGTTATATTATAATATAGTAGTATATTAGTATTTACTAAGGTTTAGTTACTAGTTTTATATAATTTAACCTATATAGCTAGTAAAGTATATCTTAAGGCTTTTATTAGTAGTAAGAACTATTTACTAGTTTTTTTTACTAAATACTACTTAATATAAATACTTTTTTATATAGTAACCTTTTATTTAGCTATTTACTTTTTTAACTTCTTTATATTTATAATCTTATAATCTATTACTTTCTTTATAACTTTATTATATTTAGCTATAGCTAGCTTTTTTTTTTATATAGTAGTATACTAACTATAGCCTTAAGGTTTTTTATTTATATATATATAGGTTTATTATTATTATAGTAAATTATTATAGTTATAAGGTTTATAGTTAATTAGATTTATATTACTAAATCTTTAACTACTCTTTTATTACTTTTATATTTTTAGTATTCTTTATTATAGACCTTTTTATTATATTTAAGTTATTTAATACTTTCTTTACTAAGTTATAATATTTTTATTACCTAAGCTTTATTTAGTAATAAGGCTAAAGATCTCTTCTTTATATAGTCTTAGATCTATTAGATAATAGCTAATTACTTTATTATATAGTCTAAAAACTTTAGTGCCTTTAGTTAAATATTTATTAACTTTATAGTCTAGATCTAGGCTATATTAGTAATTAATAGGTTAATTTCTTCTTATATACCTAATAATAATACCTTTTACTATAATTAAGCCTACTATTTACCTTTATTAGTAAAAGTTTTTAGTATAACTATAGAGGTAGCTAACTTATTAGTTATAATAAAAGTTAATATATATATTATATATATACTATATATTACTTTAATTAATATTAATTAGTAATTTACTAGTTAGACTATTAATTATTAAAGTATATAAATATAGTAGTTAATTATAATAATATTCTTAGTTAATTAGGTATATATTAATAGTGTATTTACTAGTAAATTTGCTATAATTACTGCCTTAAATTTGTGGCCTTTAACTAAATGTATTTGTTATCTAATTGCCACTTTTTAGGTAGGGAAATCCATCCAGCCAATGACGGCAACATTTGACCCACAATTGCGCATGGCCAATTGCCACACTTTGACACCTGTAAGGCATAATGAGGAAGTGTGTAACTCACTATAATGCGCGACTCGCTATACATGTACGTTATGCCATTTTGACAATGCTTCCCCTAACCCTCCGATATAGGCGGACTAAATGTCCCACCTTCACAGTCATTCCCACATTTCTCCCTCTCCTCCCAATCGGCGTCGCTCCAGAAAAAACTAAATTGACTCCTACTCCGGGGACCGCTCAGTGGTCACACGCACAAAGACACTTGAATTTCACATACATCCTGAATTCATTCTAGCGAAGTTGACCACGAAAACCACATCGATGCGCCAGAGCCCTACCTAACCGCAATATCCTCCCCTTTCCTACTTTCGCGATCGATCATGGGATTGGCCAATGGCTCGGGTTCGGGCATAGGTCCGACCCGGATCACGATATTGGGCAAGGACAATATTGTTGTGGACCACGGCATTTGGCTTAACTTTGTGACTCACGATCTCCTCGAGAACCTCAAGACGTCGACCTACGTTATTATCACCGACACAAATCTCTATGACACCTATGTGCCGCCCTTCCAGAAAGTGTTCAACGCTGCGGCGTCTGCCTCGACTCGACTCCTCACCTATGCTATCCCGCCGGGTGAAATTTCAAAGAGCCGCCAGACTAAGGCAAGCATTGAGGATTGGATGCTGTCGCAGAAATGCACAAGGGATACCGTCATTGTTGCCCTTGGCGGTGGTGTCATTGGCGACATGATCGGTTATGTTGCTGCCACATTTATGCGTGGTGTTCGCTTCGTCCAGGTGCCTACTACTCTGCTATCTATGGTTGACTCCTCTATTGGAGGCAAGACTGCAATCGACACACCAGCAGGGAAGAATCTGGTCGGTGCCTTCTGGCAACCATCGCGCATCTATATCGACTTGGCCTTCCTCGAGACGCTACCAACACGAGAGTTCATCAATGGCATGGCGGAGGTCGTCAAAACGGCCGCCATCTGGGACGAAGACGAGTTCACGACGCTCGAGTCCAACGCGGCCATCATTCTAGCCGCTGTCAAATCCCAAGGCCCTCAGAGACTATCCTCTATCCGAGATGTTCTCAAGCGAATCGTGTTGGGTTCCGCCCGCGTCAAAGCTCATGTCGTTTCCAGTGACGAAAGGGAAGGCGGCCTGAGGAATCTGCTCAATTTTGGCCATTCCATTGGGCACGCATACGAAGCTCTTCTCACCCCTCAGCTTCTGCACGGCGAGGCAGTGGCCATTGGCATGGTTAAGGAGGCGGAACTAGCCCGCTACCTTGGCGTTCTCCGGCCTGGCGCTGTGGCCCGACTCGTCAAGTGCATCGCGAGCTACGAACTGCCCACATCCATACACGACAAGAAAGTCGTTAAACTGACGGCAGGCAAGACGTCCCCGGTCGATGCCTTGTTGGAGAAGATGGCCGTCGACAAGAAGAATGACGGAGCCAAGAAAAAAATTGTGCTTCTTTCGGCCATCGGAAGGACTCACGAACAAAAGGCCAGCGTCGTCGAAGATGACGCAATCAGGGTGGTCCTCTCACCGGCGACGCAAGTGATTTCTGGCGTACCCAAGTCGCACCACACTACAGTCATACCTCCCGGCTCCAAGAGCATATCGAACCGTGCCCTTGTCCTTGCGGCCCTTGGTCAGGGAACCTGCCGTATCACGAACCTTCTACATTCTGATGACACCGAGTATATGCTATCAGCAATTGCTCAACTAGGCGGCGCGACCTATGCCTGGGAAGATGCTGGAGAGGTTCTAGCCGTTCAGGGCAAGGGTGGCAGGCTCAGTGCAAGCAAGGAGGCGCTGTACCTGGGTAATGCTGGTACAGCGTCTCGATTCTTGACCACTGTTGTTGCTCTTTGTGCCCCATCTGACGTCTCTTCGACGGTGCTCACAGGAAACGCCCGAATGAAGGTTCGCCCCATTGGGCCCCTGGTTGACGCACTCAGGGCCAACGGATTGGGTATCAAGTATCTGGGTCAGGAGAAGAGTCTTCCCCTCCAGGTGGACGCTGCCGATGGCTTTGAAGGCGGAGTCATTGAACTGGCCGCCACCATTTCCTCTCAGTATGTCTCATCCATTCTCATGGCTGCGCCCTATGCGAAGAACCCCGTCACATTGCGTCTCGTTGGTGGAAAACCCATTTCCCAGTTCTACATCGACATGACCATAGCCATGATGCGTACTTTTGGCGTCAATGTAACGCGATCATCCGAGGAGCCAAATACCTACCATATTCCCAAGGCCGTCTACCAAAACCCTCCCGAGTACGTGGTTGAGAGCGATGCCAGCTCGGCGACGTACCCTCTTGCCATTGCGGCCATCACCGGCACTACTTGTACTGTGCCCAACATCGGCTCAGAGTCGCTCCAAGGCGATTCTCGATTTGCCGTCGACGTACTGAGGCCTATGGGTTGCGCCGTCGAGCAGACAGGCACTTCAACCACCGTTACCGGGCCGCCAATCGGCAGCCTGAAGGCCATCGAGCACGTCGATATGGAGCCCATGACAGATGCCTTCCTGACGGCGTCGGTTCTTGCTGCCGTCGCGTCGGGAACCACCAGAATTAGCGGCATCGCGAATCAGCGAGTCAAAGAGTGCAACCGTATCGGAGCCATGCGTGAGCAGCTGGCTAAGTTTGGCGTTGATACGAATGAGTTTGACGACGGCATCATTATTACTGGCCGTTCTGTTCAAGGCCTTCAAGGGCCCACTGAAGGCATATTCTGCTATGATGACCACCGCGTCGCAATGAGTTTCAGTGTGCTCTCGGTCGTGGCACCAAAACCTGTTACGATACTCGAAAGAGAGTGTACTGGCAAGACATGGCCGGGTTGGTGGGATACCTTGTCTCAGTCCTTCAAGGTTGTCTTGGACGGAGTCGACCAGCATCCTCAGGCGGTGTTAACAGGACCTTCCGCAAAAACTCGAAAGGACAAATCTGTCTTTATTATTGGCATGCGTGGTGCTGGCAAGACAACAGCTGGTCGGTGGATGGCCAACACGTTGAAGAGACCGTTCGTTGACCTGGACGAGGAGCTGGAGCGACGGGCTGGCATGACGATTCCTGAGATGATTAGAGGCACCAGAGGATGGGACGGCTTTCGGGCGGATGAGCTGGAGCTTCTCCGGGAGGTCTTGGAGAAGCGGAGTCATGGCTATATCTTCTCGTGCGGCGGCGGCATTGTCGAGACCCCCGAGGCTCGCAAACTGCTCGTCGCTCATTGTCGCAACGACGGAACCGTGTTGCTGGTCCATCGAAACACCAAGGAGGTGGTTGAGTATCTCCTCCAGGACAAGTCGAGACCGGCCTACAGGGAGGACATTGAAGATGTCTACTATCGCCGGAAGCCGTTCTTCGAGGAATGTAGCAACTTCGAATACTTTAGTCCTCACCCGCCTGGCACTCTGGCTACACGGGACCCGCCGTTGGACTTCCGGCGCTTTGTGAACACCTTGTGTGGCGAGGAGGTTCAAGTGAAAAGGGCACTGGCGAAGGACCCCAGCTTTTTCGTTTCCCTCACGGTGCCAGAAGTCGCCTCTGCTCTGGCCCTGATACCGGCCGTCGTCGTCGGATCAGACGCCGTAGAGCTTCGTGTGGACTTGCTGCAAGACTTCTCGGAAGAATCGGTGGCACACCAAGTTGCGCTTCTCCGATCTGTGGCCGACGTGCCAATTATCTTCACCCTGCGGACGAAAGCTCAGGGCGGAAGATTCCCAGACGACGCCTATGACCAGGGCCTTGGACTTTACCAAAAGGCCATCCGCATGGGTGTTGAGTTTATCGACGTCGAGATGACGCTCCCGGAGCAAGTCATCCAAACAATTGTGGAGAATAAGGGGCCGTGTCGCATTATTGCTTCTCATCACGACCCTCAGGGCAAACTGTCGTGGAAGAACGGTTCCTGGATACCATTTTACAACAAAGCCCTCCAATGGGGTGACGTGATCAAGCTGGTTGGTATTGCCCAGCACATCGAGGATAACTACGCGCTGGCCCAATTCAAATCCGCAATGTTGTCTTCACACAAAACCCCCATCATTGCCCTCAATATGGGTACTGCCGGCAAGCTCAGCCGCGTGCTTAACGGCTGCCTTACTCCGGTCTCTCATCCTGCTCTGCCGTTCAAGGCGGCTCCTGGGCAGTTGTCCGCGGCAGAGATCCGGAAGGCTTTGGCACTGTTGGGTGGCATTAGTCCCCAGTCCTTTTATCTCTTCGGCAAGCCTATCTCGGCGTCAAGGTCGCCCGCACTGCACAACACCCTTTTTGCGCTGACTGGATTGCCGCACCGATACTTGCTAAAGGAGACGGATAGCGCCGCCGACATTCGGGAGGTTATCCGTGCACCTGATTTTGGCGGTGCGTCCGTCACAATCCCACTGAAGCTAGACATCATGAAGGAAATCGATGAAATCTCGGAGTCCGCTCGCATAATCGGTGCCGTTAACACTATCATCCCGGCCAGGGACAATGGGGACGGCAACGCTAAGCTCGTCGGTGATAACACCGATTGGTCAGGCATGGTCCACTCTCTGCAATCCGCAGGAGTTGCGCCTCGCTCCGCCACTGGCGTCCAGCGTTCCGCAATGGTCATCGGTTCGGGGGGGACCACACGAGCTGCCATCTTTGCTCTCCATGCCCTGGGCTTCGGGCCCATTTACGCACTTGCGCGCAATAGCAGTAACTTGGAGACGCTGAAGGCATCCTTCCCTCCCGAGTATCGCATCGAAGCTCTCAAGAGCGCCAGTGATGCATCCACCCTGCCATCCTCACCCACCGTTATAGTCAGCACTATTCCTGCAGACAAGCCGGTTGATCCATCACTTCAAGAGACCTTGGCAGTGGTGTTGCGCCACGAGCTGGCAACCGAGGAGAAGCGGGTCCTCCTTGAGATGGCTTACATGCCCCGTTACACCCCATTGATGCAGCTCGCTGAGGAGGCCGGGTGGGCAACTATCCCTGGACTGGAAGTGCTCTCTGCCCAGGGCTGGTACCAGGTAAGTCAACATCAAACTCGGAGAGCCGCAGCAACGAGCGAGCAGACAGAGGTTGCTGACCTGAACCCACTCTAGTTCCAGAAATGGACCGACATCATCCCCCTGTACCAAACAGCTCGAGCAGCTGTGCTAGGCGAGGAGGCTGGGGAAGCTACCGGCCGTAAAGTATAATGGAGGAGCAGAAAACATCCCCTTTTGCTCTACTATGACCTTTGCGCATGGCCAGGATTCAGTATGGTATTGGCCAATGATGAAGTGTTTTATGTGACTGAAGCTTTAAAATGAAAGGGAATGAACGGTAAGGGAAATTAAAAAGGGTGGGGGATTGAAAAAAAAGTCATGACTCTTTTCCCTATATCATGTTACTATTTTTCCCCGACTTACTTGAGATGCAGAAGCTTGCTGTGGTTGGTAGGTCTGGGCCACATGTGGTAGGCCAACCTATGAATAAATAGTGACTCGCGAAAGCATGTATACGGTAGGGACAATCGCGCCAAGTCACCAAGGATGTCATGATTAGGAAGATCACGAAGCATCGGCTTGAATCAAGGTCTATATTATATCTAATGTTGTGAATCACAGCCCCCATCCAGCTCGAACGGGACTCGGACGACCATACGGTTTGTACACAGACGCTAAAACGTGGTAAACAGTGCTATTTGGCCGAAACGGAGTTTTGATCATTTCTGTGAATTGTACAGGATTAAGTAATTCTATAATGGCCACTGTATTGTCATAAACTCGTTCCGTTGCGTACAACCAGCCATATATGACCATTCCCATCCCAGACCAGGCCGTGTAACGTATTTTTTCTTTTTGTCTAGCCAATGCATGAGTTGAGCATACCTACAAGCTCCAATACTTTAAAGTATACATGCGTCATCGTCATCTGCCTCCGTAACTAGATGTGACACCGTCAAATAAGAACACAAATAGACGCTGCTGTTGTACACTACAAGAACTTGCTGGAACGTGTAGAAAAAAGAAGAGGCAGAGGAATGAATAAATCAGTCATAGATGTGACGTGCACCACAATTGGTTGCAGTCATCGAGACTGCTTGGACGCATCGTCGGTTGCTAGCAGGGGGTGCAGCAGTTGCGGGGGGGGAGAAAGAAAGAGAAAAGCATACAAGGCAACAGAAGACACGATAATGTCATGAAGCCCCTTTCCCATCTCGGCGTACCCATTGACCGGGAATGAATGACCATGCCAAGGCTCGATATGATGTCGTTGGCTGAGTCGGGGAAAGTCGAAAAGGGCAAGACTGTCGCGCAGAGCGAGGTGGGGTGAGTGATGTCATCACGGGTCATACGGATCGTCAGGGTCGTAAAGCACGGGCCATGATGATATCATTCAGCACGACCCTTACTGCACTGTCGGAGGACCCTGAAATTTCACCCATGGAACCCCTCCCCCCCCTTCCGGCTACCCACCCCGCTGGCGTCTTTCAGTACGTTTCGACACAACCGTTGGACTGGTTGCGCGGACATTGATACCCTGGTGCCGACATTTTCTGACACTCGCTTTGTGCGGGGCTCTTGCACCATCCATCGGTTAGGCTTTGGCTTCGTCTGTCCGACGTCATGATGCGTATCTGACGCCCTCCGCCCGAACTGTGCAGCATGGCATGATGTCGCTGGACGGTTTGCAGATCGCCACATTCCCGACAAAACGGGGTTTGCGATTCGGACTTGCGCTCGCAATCTTGTGAGGAATTAGGCATTCTGGCCGCGACGTCGATGCTTTCCGGGAAATTCAACGTCGGGATGACAGACACGGTAGTGGCGTGTAAGTGCGTCTGCGCGGCTGAATGTCTTCTCCTCGGTGCACAGGTTACAACGGACCTTTTGCTTCCGTGCGTTGTGGATTGTGTCCTCATGCCTTGTCAAGTCGTAGGGGCGCGAGAATATTGTATGGCATGGCTTGCCAGTACTCGGATTGATGCGGTCACAGCGGTGAGGTCCGGCTTGGCTGTTCAACATGTTATCGGGGGACGCAGCCGCAGTGTCGGGTCTCCGAGGACCCCCGATTCCTTGTGTCTGGCGATGTCCCTCTCGTTTGTGCTTTTGAAGAAGAGCAGGTGTCTCAAAGCGCATCGTGCAGCCGTGATACGTGCACGTGTATGTGCCTCCGTCTGCGGCAGCGCCAGCCGGCTTGGACATGGGTACGCCATTCGAAATTGATGTCCCCTCCGACCCTCCAGAACTAGACTCAACAGAGCTCAAGCGCGGAACGTGATCCTGGGCATGGGTCTGGCGCGGGTGGGCTATGAACGGATATTGCTGAGGGATATGAATACCAGTTTGCAACTGAGCAGGCATATAAGGAAAAGCAGGTCCGTTGTGCACAGACGACCGGGCAAAGCTGGCCTGTGAATCCTGGGAGGCGACAGCCTTTGCAATATCTTCAAACTCGGCGGGTTCTTGAGGAAACAATGGAAATGATGAATCGCCATCGGTATCGTGAAACTCAAGCATAGCATCTTTGGGGGATATAGTTTTGGGAGTCTCGGGCTCAGACTTCATGGACATTTGCTGTCTCATCATCTGAGCGTCTTGTTCAGCCTTCTTTTGTTCCCGCATGCGATGTGCCGAATTGAATCTCAAATGAGAGGCTTGCATACCAGCGCCGAAATCGTGGTTGGTAACCGGGGCGAGTGGTGAGCCCTGGCGAAATGGAGACCGATCGCGTGACACACTCGACGCAGGAGAATGTGCCGCGCTCAAGTGCTGATTGTTGGCAGCACTTAGCCTTTGGGCGAACACATCATTACTGGGAGATACTGCCATCTGTGGTTGTGCTGGCGACGCCGATGTGATTGTGAAGTTCGGGCTGTAAAGCTCGTCGTTATAAATGTCTGTCATTGTGCGATCCAACTTGGGGACATTACTGAAGACTTTATCGTCATACATTGGTGAGCAAGAGTTCATAATATAATCGAAAGTGGTTTCCTTACCAGCTTTGCGCCTCCTGTCATCTTCTTGCTCGACATGCGACGGGGTGGCGGGTGAGTCACCAGCGACAGAACTTGCCACCGAGTTGGGGTGTGATCTGTTGCCCGCTACTAACAGCTCGGGAGCGGGTAGTAGACCGCGATCAGAGCGGGGTCTTTGGACATTCGTGGCAGATGCGTAGCCGCTCATGTCCGACGAGATGTTTAAACCGTTATAATTCGGGTACATGTTGTCGTGGGGAACCGCCATGGACTTGCTTGCCAGTTGATAGAAGGCGTTGTTATCGTGGGTCTGCATGTCGTATAGGCCGTCTGGTATCGAGTCCGTGACTGCAATCTGGGGGTTCGTTGTGTTATGGCTGAAAGGCGAGGCAGGGCCAGCAGAGCCCAGAGAAGAAAGAGAAGACTCCCGCTGATGAGGCAATCGACCAACCGGCTTGGGGGCGTACTGGTTTCCTATTACCCAAGCGTCTGGCTGCATGAGATCTTGCTGGTAGTTCAGGCTCAAAGAGGAGCTGTCGAAAGCCGTGGTAGTAGTAGCCGCTCTTGGCACGGCCAAGTTAGATGTGCTACAGTCGGAGACGTTGGTAGGCTGGTTCGCTAAGGAGTAGTGGGAGGAGAGGAAGGACTGAGTCGAGAGCGGCGAAGATGATATACTCGATAAGTTCGAATCGCAGGTGAGGTCGTCAAAAGATGTGTCGAGGTCGAGGTCGAGTGCCTGTGGGTACAACTGATGCGATTGTTGGGATTGACACTGAGGCTGATGTTGGTGGTATGCCTGGCTACTGTGATAGAGCTGACGGTGCTGGAATGGTTGAGCAGTAGCGGGTCGGGTTAACAGCATGGTGCGGTTATTTGAGAAGGTTGGATGTTTTGTAGTTGTTGTGATGCGAAATCAGATCGAGTGGCAAACCACGGAGGGACGGCGACTTATAAATATAGGAAGAGCAAAAGAAGGTGCCGCCAAAGTTGCACTACGTATTGGCTTGGATCCACGGTCCTCGCTCTTAGTGAGGTAAACGATACGTACCGGAGTGGACCATGGGGCTTGGAGTGGACCGGGGTGGACGGTACGTAGCGCCTTCGCATCTGCTCGCTTTGCGAAGCGGAGGTATAGGCTGGCAGCACCCGAGGCTTGGACTTGGGCTGCTTGGTGGTGGGGTGATGGTAGAGCAGGGGTGCATGGGGTCTGGGATCGGGGCCGGGGTGGGTACCTATACCTTACACTAGAATGATGCAGTAGGGCGATAGGGACAACAGGGACAGGGAGGGAGGGATGGGACAGAAGCACAGGGAGGAAAAGGATGGAAGAAAATTTCAATGAGTGCGAACGTACTGATGACCGCTCTCCCCCCTCCTAATTTTTTTCTTCTTCTTTTTTCAATCGTCTTGGAAGCCCGCGGAATAACGGCCAGCCTATTGAGTGACAACGGCCCAACCAGGGTTTGAGTTTTCTTGATCCGTAAAGCATCCAGGGATAGATGTGTAAAGGATGCGATGCTGCTTTAATAATGCATTTGCGCGGGCTGTCGAAATCTTGATGCACATACGTAGACGGGACGGAATGGCTCTCGCCTGTCAATCCCCCTCCACCCTAGCTTTCCTAGGCAGTCAATCAACACTGGCCCTCGTGACCTCGACTGATCATGCAAACAGTGCACCGATGCCTGCCAGTCCAGGAGTGAATTGACTCAGAGGGCGAGGGGCACGGAATCAAGGGTGAAGTGGCCGCAGGCAGACAGGCAATACCGAGTCTTTGCGATGGAAGGTTCAAGCTTAAGCAGCTGACGCGGGAATGAAATAGGCCACGCCGCTAGAGAACGAATGGATGCTGGCTGAGCCCGGCGCTCGGGACGCAGGAGTGACTAATCTGCGGCTTTTTACAGGATTGCAAATTCGCAATTACTAGGCGGCTCAAGGCAATCCGAAGCACGCCGACGGGAAGTTGCTCGAGGGTTCTGTAGGTTTCTCGGGCAGCTACCCGTTTGCGCGGCTGTTGTCGTGTCGTCGTGGCTGTCGTCGTAATTCAGGGGATCGTTCGTTAACTCAGCTGAGTGTGCAAACTTGATGAGTGAGCACGCTAAGAATAGTAGGTCGAATGTTCCATGCAGTTTTGGGCATACCATGCCAAATCATCCGCCAAATCATCCAGCAAAGCACAGCACAGCACAGCAGCAACGCAACGCGAACGTGAATCACAGATGGATGCTGCACAGCTGACTAACACAGGAAATAGGACAGAGGTAAAATACAAACTGATTTTTTATTACATAAAAAGGTGCAATGTGTCTGCCTACCTATGTTGTAGTGCTACGGCGCAATGCTTGGAATATGCACTGCAGCAAGTAAAGCGATCTGGTTTTGGGAAGCGTGCAAATGCAAGCCTGACGCCGACATGGCTGTGATGGAGCACTGCAAAGGGGTAATCATGCCCGAAGGGTCGTTGAAAGCAGCTATCAAGAAGTAAGGTACATTGGATGGGACCATTTCGGCGACGAACGACATCGAAAACCCCGTCGCGCGTCTGGGTGGAGTGACGTAAGGCGGCGGATGGATGGACGGACGGGGCCACTGAGGTCTCACCGGTTGACTGTGCACTACATCGTAGTGTTTTCTGGGTGCACTGATGGGCGCCCTAGCCCACAATCCAATCCAGCACCTGATGACTGCATTGGCAAGTACAGGAGGAGCAATGGAATGACATTATGGGGGGGGTTAAGCGGTGGGCCCACTCCCCAAGTGCTGCTCACCTCGTCGTCGTCAGTCATCTCCGTCGTTCTCCCACGGCACCTCGGCTCACACTGTGCTTTACTTTTAGGGCAAGCGCCATGGTGCCTTCCGTCACCTTATCTCGCTGGCGCTTGATCGTCAACGACCTTATCCCCTCTGAGGTGCTCGTAGAACATGTAACCCACCCCCAGCCCTGACAGGTTTCTATTGGGTCGACTGGTTCTTGATATGGAGGGAGTCGGAGAATCAACCCACCCTATGACCCTGCCGTGCTCTGGCATATCTCTCGAGCGAAGAGGCCTCTTTGATCCATGCGGAGTGAGTGTCTTATCCACCTAATATGAGGTTGTCAATGATGGCTCGGCAATGTTTCGGTCTGCACGAGCATACCTGCCTTCTCACCTCCCAAAGCATACCCGTATCATGCTGTCATCTCAGCCGCCATAGTACATCGTACCTAGTAGAATGCACTACGTACTTTGTTTATACACACCATGTATGGCTGGCCAAGTCTTCTGCCATGCTGCGTCTTGTTGGCAAACACCGATGGCGGGGCGCTTCCCTGTGAAGTGTGGGAAGGCCCCGGCTCGACCTGTTCAGGGGAGAGGGGTAGGTAGAGATGGAGGGGGGAACCCGACGATCGCTGCCATGCTCACCGGTGTGTGTGCCTTAGTACAAGTTTTCCTTTACACTAGTTTATCTAGGTACGGCACTTCGCATGGGGTAGATGTTTGAAGGGTCCATCGGGCCAAGTCAAAATGACGGCAGGGAACAGGGGCCCGTGCTAATAGGTAGCCATGACCAGTTTCTCCGGAGTTTAGGGCAGGGTCTTTTTTTTTTTTTTTCCCTTCCGCTTTTTTCCTTGTTACGCCCCCTCCTCCTCCTCCCCACTCCCCCCTTCGAACCTTTCCTTGAGGAGAATAATGACAGCCGCGGACGGGAAGCCGTCGGCCAAGGCTCGGAAAGCCACGGTGCTGCGCTGGGAAGCTAGACATGGTGGAGGAAGTGGTTGAGTTGTACCGGTAGTTTATGTGGAGAGTCGGCTTTCGTCTGCCGTTGTCCGCAGTTGGGCTACAGGAAAGGAGGGGAGGAACTTGAGCTCAGCCACACTGGCTAAGTTGGGCGAGAGTCGGGTCTTCGATCAAGCCGAAGCAAGCCATTGAAAGTCCCCAACCCCGGTTGAGCTGTAATGCAACACTACAGAGCGATAGCCACTAAAATCCTTTGATTGTCCTGTCGGAGGCTTGCATTCACCCATTCGGTATGCAGTTATACCTGGGGGAACAAAAAGCCTGGCTTCGACCGATCTCGTGGCTTGCCGCGCTGCAGGTACGCATTCACACCAGGAAACGGCCGTTTCCCGTGCCTGAGTTCGCAATCAAGGGCCCCTCCTCCGTCCCCAATCCAGAGCTCCGGTGCCTTCATACAGAGGGACCCTGAGAATGTATTACCAAATGCTTCTTGCTGTGTACATTACAGAAGTGCTACATCACACCCTTGCGATGCATCCGAGCCTGCTCACCGCTGCTGACTAACGAGAGTAACGTTCCATGATAATGACATTCACTCGGATGAATTGCAAGGGTGATCATGGATGATGTCACGTCCTGTGCCTCTTTTCTCGTATGATGACCTAATCATGGAGTGGCATGTCTAATTCTTGTCCTTTTGGCTCCCTCCCCCAGCGTCTGTTTTCGCACATAGGTAGGACTCCCCCCAACCCAAGCATGCCTACATAGTAGACTTTTTGTCCTGCCAGTATTTTTGGGTTTGTACTCTATGCACGTACGCCAGACGGAAACCAACACGACGCCGTCTGAAGTTTTTCCATTGCGCGTGACTTGTATCATTCCGTCATCGTTCCGTTAAGTCGGGCAATAGGTATCTCGCCATTGGGTCCCCAGACTACATGCAGCGTACGATATGCGAAATTGAAGTCGGGGCCCCCATCTCTTCGCATCATGGCCTCCCACCGTGTAATTTGTCTCTGGCACACCCGACCCCTCAGTGCGCCTTTGTTCCATGGTGACCATGTCTTGGCGCACTTCATCCGGCATCGGTTTCCAGCCAGAGTACCTGGTGCTTGCGGCCCATGCTGGGGAAAGTAAAGGGGGGGTTGTGGCTAGTGGATAGTGGCTGTCGCTATACAGCTGCAGGTTCGTACGTATGTATACATCTGCAGGCTCCCCTTATGCTTTAGCGCTATTCTGTCCTCTTAGGCGAGCTCTTTCGGCCTCGGCCTCCGTTCTTGGCTGCGGTTGCTACGTTGGTTAAATTCCAAAGGCCTTTTCGGCATGTGCCAATGTTCTATTCAGGTGGCCGGCCATACGCAGGCTCTCAATCTGTGACTGACTTGCGAATTCATCTGTTGTGGCTCAACTAGGCCACCCATGGTCGACTCTTCATTTAGCTTTACCGAGGCACGTACCTAGTCCCTGGGCGGAGTAAACGTCCAGCCACATCATGCAGGTCGGCTGACACGTCTCCACCTTCCCGGCGGCCCCCCCACTCCCGTCTGCCGGACCCCGACCGAGCGGGTTTCCTCGGATAATTATCTCCATGGGAGTGTGACCTAGGGTGCATTCTAGTTTATGTAGCGAAGCTCGTACTCAAACTGAGGAGTCAAGCTCAAAAGCTGAGCTAAACAACCTGGGCTATTGCCTTGCGCCGCAAATTTGGGTAGGGAGGGCACCCATCGGCGGCATGAATCAGACGTCAGTGCATTGTGCCTCTTTTCGCAGCTGGTCGTTCCACCTTGCTCCATACTACATATGTACACGTAGACGGATACCAGGCATCTCGAAAGTGAGTCAGTACGGAGCTTTCTGTCTTTGGATCGCAACTCGTAGGGAGAGTTCTCCTCTTCTCCATCACTGGCATTCCTGGATCTGCCGCATGACACATTGATACTGTGCACGCCAACTGCCATACCAATATAGCATCCATGACAATCTGCAGGGACTTGGAGCAGTCTCGAATACCCCTCCGCCGGCCGTATGTGGGTCGCCGCGGCGGTCGGCCGGTCCAGCCCGCAAGTCCAAAGTCCAAGTACAATGCAGCGCATCAACGATTGTGCCAATTTTTCAGAGAACTGGCAAATTAGTGTTTGGTTTGATTGAATTCCGTGGGCCTCGTACAGTCTAGTCTGCATGCAGAACCGCATCGGTACCCATGCTGCGTGCTGTACTCCGTCGTACTACTACTACTACTACTACCACACAAATAGGTCCAGCCAGCAACCCTAAAAACGGCCTATACACTACTACTGTGCATCATGGATTTGGGTTTGCAGCATGACAGGGGATGGGCCGAGATCCAAAGGCGTAGGTCAGATGCGCATGCGTCACGCTTTGCATAACCTACAGCCCTTGTCAAGGCACAGCCGGGCCTTTCGCAGCGGTTGGCGCTGACGACGAAGCTGAGCACATGTTAGAGCAGTCCGACGAACACGATTCGGCTCGAGGCGATGTGAATGATCCTTTTTGACCACAGTGAGTGCGGCTGGAGCCGGTCTGGACGAGGACGGGGTTCCCTCTGGCATCCGCGGCATGTCAGTCATCCTGTCTGGCTCACTCATCTACGGTCCGGCCAAAAATTTCGTCACCAGCGCGAATGCATGCTTGCGCATGTGCCTTTAGTCAAAGCCTGGTATGTGTGCCTTCATCTACCAGCTGAAGAGCACTGCAGGTGGTGCGTGTGTGCGTGTGCTGCGGTCGGGCCACGCCGAACTAAGCCCGTTGAATTCCGCCGCGCATCTCAACCTGCCCGTATCCCATCGGGCCATCGCTCATCCTCGGAGACTGAAGAGAAAAGATTAAACCCGATGTGCCGCACTGACCGAAAGGCGGCACGCAGAAACTGACAGGGTCTGTGCGTATGCAGCAAGATGTCTAGGGACGAAAGCGTGGGAAAAAGCGAGTGGGGAGAAGAAGCGTCTCAATGTTTCCTGTGCTGCAGCCAAGTGGATGGTCTGGTCTGGTCTGGTCTTCGGCCTCCCCAGCTAGGTAGTGCCACTCACTGTATCAGTGACATGCCAGAAATTGAGGGTGTCAGACTTTTCCCCCCTCTTTTCCGGTACAGCGTGGGGGAGACAAAAGCTTACTGCTTGTGTTTCGGTCGATACAGTAAGTGAGTAACCAGCCAGCTAGCCAGCCAGCCAAACACCTGGCATTACTGCGGAAGTAAAAGTTTTCCCGCCAAGTGTGGCTGAGCCGACGGCCACCACTTTCTATTGGTTCCATCGCCGAGTCCAACCTCTCCACCAGTGGCGTTTTCCCTCATTCTCCCGGAAGGTGGCAGTCGGTTGGTGTGGCTTACAAATACTTGTAGACTCGCGTAGGGCCGACCGAGACACACCAACGCCGAGGCACGTAGTATCGGTAGCTCCGGCCAAGGCGGCTTTAGTGTGTGGGTTCGGATATCGCATCGTTGCTATCCGTACATCCCATTGCATTTTTTTCGGCGTTTGCCTGCCTCCACGAATTCGTATTCACATCCGCCCGTACCTCATGTTCAAATCACTCACTCTTGCTTGTAACCTTGACGCAGCTGCCGGCCCAGTCGGATAAGAAGGAAAAGGTGGATGCAACCTTACAAACCACACCGTCCGTCTCTGAATAGAGCAGCGCGGCGTATCTGCTACCTAGCTCTCCGAGTACTGTCAACCGCGGCGAAAACAAGTCGCCTCACATAGAATAGAGCCTGGCTCAAAATCACAAAACATATCATAAAAACGCTCGGCCGATAACTGCCGACGCGCGGTTGAACTGAGTAATAGCCATCCCCCCGGTTCATAATACTCCACAATACATGACTGCGAATGGTGCTGTTAACGAGTGCTGACGATCCTGGGTATCGCAACTCGGATACTTGCATGGCCGTCCAGAGAACCGTCGTGTGCACTCACCCACCCATCGGAACAGGCTGAGATTTCCTGTCGGCTGAATGTGTACGAGAACTCGGGCAAGATCAAGTTGAGATGCTCCGGGGGTGCATAAAACAAGGCAGGTGGCAAAGGTACGCATCGCGTTGTGTACCGGTAGTGTGTTACACGTACACCTCGGCTGGCGCATTCCACTGCGCGCTATCGACTCTGCAATTCAAGGCCCGCGCTAGTCTACCTCTGGGTAGGTACCCACCTCGGAAGTGCTCGCTACTCCCAAACATCACAGCCGCACATTTGCCCGTGTGTCCATCATCGTGTTTTTTCCTGTCATTTTCCACAATTGCATCTTTGGGTCCCATCCGGCCCCGTCCGAAGTTGGGTCTCCATCGAATCACTCACACTACCTGGCTCAGCCCAGCCAACCGGTCCAACGCTTCATTGCCAAACTCATCTAGCATTATCTGCCGGATAAACCATGTGCACTTCTCTGGCTCTAAACTGTATTGGGATCAAGGCTTCCCTTCTCGCCACTGAACTCATCTTTGCGCCTCAAAGTTGGGTTGCCTCTTGCATTGACGCCTGAGATCGTCTGGCCTGTGACTTAGCTCCCGGCCCCAATTCCCGTCCCCTGGAACTCTTTCCTCGGCTGCCTCATGGATTCGGCTCTGGAGCGTTCTGATCTGGCAGCGACCCAGCCGCATACTACCAACCAATGGACCGCGATTGCTTTTTCTTACCGGCGTAGCCCTCTTCTTATGTTTGTCGGGTTAGGTTGCTGTACGCTACGCTGCAATACACCACGCTAATCCTCGTTATCGTCACCCGCCAAAGGCGATTATATTGCATGCGTCCTCTCACCCAGGTGCTTGCATGTTCGCTGTAGCCGAGCCCTGCTCACATAAAGACTTCTCTGCCCTCGATGATCGGTTTCCAGAGGACCAGTAGTGTCAGTAGTATCTTTTCTGTTGGGAGACCAAGTCACTCCCCTCTTCCTAATAGCTCTTGTCTGCACGTCACTCGCTATGGTACGCTCTCGAGTTGTTGCTTCTAGTCTGAGAGATGGCAGGGTGGCCCAAGGCCAGCGAGAGGGGGCAGATCTCGGGGTATGAGTGTTCCTTTGGCGGAATTCTTGTGCACGATCTGCGGCAGGCCATATGAACCCAAGTTGTTTATCTCGAGAACGGCAAAAAGGTGTAATGACTTGGATGGTTCAACCCCTGACACAATCTCCTTCTACCACATGTCAGTGGCTCGGTTTTGACACTGCTCTGATTATTTGGGTTGCCCGCACCACCCGAGCCGGGAATTCGGGCAGGGCTCGTAGATCGTACCGGTTTTTCGTCGACCCAGGTGATTCGTACATGCGTGATTCTCTCTCGCATATGTAACAGCCCTTACTATCATCGACACAGTCGCCCGTTGTCCAGCATATCCTAGGCGAGCTCCTTATGCTATTCTGCCACAGACAGTCAATATTCTCTATTAGTGTTTCTCTCCTGCTCGGCCTAACGTCTTATGGCGCTCTTTACTTGGACTTTGATATGGCAGCCCAGTCACAAGCTAGGAAGCTTAGTTTGGGTGAATCAGCCAAGTCTTTGCTGCAACGGCCTGTTGTGAACTACTTTTAGCCGCGGCGTTTATTTGTCCGTATGCTGTTTTCCCTCGGTTTCTGTCTTGCCCGTGACGCTGGGCAGTTGTGAGTTATTCTACCTGTGCATGCGGCCTACTTTCGCTTCTTCTCTGCACCAAGTTCCGGGAAGTTCGAGTTTCCGGTCCTGCGTAAGCTGGTGGTATGGACCGCGACCTAATTCTACTAGTCATTGTCAGGGTAGTCTCCTGCGACAAAGATAACCACCGCGGTGAGTATATTTATGCGAGTAGACGTCATATCGTATAATGCCCTGCGGCCAACCTTTCCTTGATGGGCCATGCTGCTGGATGTTTTCGCCTAGGGAGGATACATGAACTTCGTCGACGCTGTATCTACCCTGTTCCAGCTGCAAGAATTTGTGTATCTATCTACGAGCCTATGCATAAAACTCCCTTTCAGTGGCTGACTCGGTGCGCTTGATAATACCGTATACGGTTGGCTCGGTATGTGCAATTCAGGTCCGGCTACGTGATTAGGTGGCTTCGTGTAGAGGGTTAGATACCTAGTTCGGCTGATTTGCCCTATCCTTGTCCGTCACATCGATGTTGACAGACATATGGGCAGATCAATCAACTGGGTTCTATGTCGGCTCACGTGTGTCGTACACATGGGACAATCAGCCACTGTGGTCTGCCACTTGGAAATTGTGCAGCAGCGTGTATCTTAGTTGTGCATGAATGACCCTTCGTTGATGGATTGAGTCAATTTTCACATGATTGGTTCCATCTTAGCACCAGCTGGGCTTACCTGTACTGTTGTTCTAGTCGTACTAGAGATAGACACTCGTGGAGGAGTCCAAACCAACCAACCAGCCTTGACCCCGGTACGTGCCAGCGCACTACAGCTGATGAAATGTTTCCATACCGTGAGTGGTCGAGCTCAATTCCTGATTCGTTCGTTTGTGTATGATCATGCCGTGGTTTACGTTACTTTCATCATTGAACACCTGGGTGTCTGTTGGACCCTGGGGCCGTAGGTGTGATGTGATTAGCAACGTTTCGAAGCCGCGAGTAAGCCCGCGAATGTTATTTGGTATTATAGCTTCGGAATTCCGGGGCCGATGTTTCTTCTTATGGGCCTTTTCATTGCGGCATATGTCGGTCAGCCTGCATCTATAACTCTTCTTAGGTCCCATCTGGGATGAAATTCTTCACTGAAACCATCGATTATCTGCACCATGGTTACACTATGGATGAGATATCTGCTATTTATCCTTCACGGGTTGGTATTGGAGCCGTCAATCACGATTTCTTGTTCGTCGCCACGTGGCGAGCGAACGCCCTTCAACTGCCCGTAAACGTTTCGTCTCAACAGCCACGAGGCTGATTCGGAGCGTTGTGCATAGTAGTTGTTTTAATTAGGTAATTTATATTTAAGTTAGCACGACACATGTACGTTATCGTCTAGGGTTGGCGGTATGGAGCAACTTTCCGTGTCGGGGCTTTGTCTAAGTGCTGGATACTCCGACTGTCCTTCGTCGAATGGGAGCGGCAGAGCCCCTGATTCGACCAGATACAGTTACCGGATGATTGTATTGTATGTGCTAGGCCTTGGATACTGTGGCGGGCTTGCCTGTGACAGGAAGCGACTCGTTGTACGTTCGGCTTCCCGAAATATACGATTGGTTGGTGCGGCGTCATCCATTCGGTCCCACCGGTAGCCTCGTGAGCGTCGTTATACTTTTACAGCTCTATAGCGGCGGAACGACTAGCTTGCGACTTCATCGTTTTCTTTGGGCTCGGTCGGTAGGCTCAGTTGAAGTTCATATAGGCCAAACCACCGAGGTTGCCGCGGGGGGGGGGGGGGGGGGGGGGGGGGCTGACGATCGTTTGATTCGTGTGTCTGCTCGGTTTGGACAACAAGTGATTTATTTCCTCACACTTGTCACTCTGTGATGTTGCTTTCTGGCCTCTGTTTGATGATATGATGTGTTCGGATGGGATATGCGTCATGAATGGTGCACTTGTATATTTTAATATGCTGTTCAAGTGTGTCTGCTAGATGGGAAAACCTCCACGCACCACTTCTCATTCAGCGGGTACAAATCTGCCAATCGCGCCATGGACCATAAAATTGGGAATCTCTCTAAAACTGAAAGCCAAAGTTCTAGAGATGGCCACACTGGAACACGTGAGGGGTTTGCAGCTGTATGAGACGGGGGTTAGGGTTATGCTTACTTTGTCAAATCTCAACATGAAGCCAATGTCGTTGAACCTAGAACACCCGGAAGAATGGAAAACGAGAGAAACTCCCAACAGATAGCACATTGTCGTGATGGACGCCATGCTTACCACTCGATCTCGGAGATGGTTCACGGCATCGTGACATGGCCACACCAGACAAAACAACCAACCATACTATGTGTCATGCGCGACAGCGACATATACAGGAGTGGAATTGACCAAGTTTACAGTGCCAAGACATCGAATCACTTGAGGCTAAGGTTGGGTATAGACACTATGACTCACACAAAGGGACCAGAAGGGCCAAGACGCTTAGCCGACATGTTATAAACGAGACAGTTGCTACGAAAAAATGGTGCAGCTCATCATAAACGCAGAAAGTAACCGGAGGTAGCACATATACCACGAGACACGCCTTAGGCTGTGGGACATCACACGAACACACGCACTGCACACCAGACAATAGCAATGCCCGAAAGATGCAAGACTGATCAAAACATACCCCAGCGTGGGATTGATTATGTCTCAAGCTAATCAAGCCATCCATGTAGAACCCCATTGTTTCCCGTATGGTACAGTATAACACCCAAAACCAGCCAAACCCATAGTCATTCATGACAAAACACTCCACTCCCTAAGTCCGTTTGTGCCACCGCGCCGCGTGGTGGATCGCATCATGGCCCAAGAAAGATTCGTAACAGACATGCAAGAAAACAACGCTTAACCACCGAAACCGTAGAGGGTGCGGCCTTGGCGCTTCAGCGCGTAGACGACGTCCAGAGAGGTAACAGTCTTGCGCTTGGCGTGCTCAGTGTAGGTGACGGCATCACGAATGACACCCTCGAGGAAGGACTTGAGGACACCGCGGGTCTCCTCGTAGATCACTGTGAAGATTCACGTTAGACATATGGACAGCGGAGGCAATACAACGATGTAACGTACTGGCAGAAATACGCTTGACACCGCCACGACGAGCGAGACGACGGATAGCGGGCTTGGTGATACCCTGGATGTTGTCACGCAAAATCTTGCGGTGGCGCTTGGCACCGCCCTTGCCGAGACCCTTGCCGCCCTTGCCGCCTGTAGAAGTGAGAGTCAGCGCGTGTGCCAGGGGGGGAAGTCTAAATATGGGGTCAACACTCACGTCCAGTCATTTTCAAAAAAGTGTTTAAAGTGGAAGTTGGAGGTGATAATGGAGGGGGGGGGGAAGAGTCGCGTAGGAACGAGTTGTTTAGGTTGAGATAACGTAGGGCTGGATAACGAGAGTAGACTTCGCTGCAGACGCGCAGAGGGGGAAGACATTTATATCAAAAGCGCGTGGGACAGGTGAGCTTTGGGATCAGCCAGGAAAAGCGGGTACGTACCTCAGATCGGATCACCCTGTCGCGACGCGAAGGTGAAAATGAAAAACAAACCAATGCGCCCATTTCGGGAAAGGGGAAAGGCACAGACCAGCAACATCAGGTTGTAACAGGGGATGGAATGATTTACGCAGCCAACCAAGATCCCTCCCCATTTTCCCAACCATAATCTTACCCACTCTGCCACAGTACCTACATATGGAAACTGTCGTCGCCTTACCGTACACATTTAGCTTGCCTAGCCCTTTGGCCAACCAACTTTGGGCCTTCCAGGCATTGTGACTAGTAATAACTACTTTGCACCCTGGTTGTTCCTCTTCAGCCCAAAGCAGAATGATGCAGAGCAGGTGCTTTGGTGGCTGGGATCTAGGGCATGGCCATCCGTCGTCACATCGTTGGACTGTAACAGCAGCCCTTCGATTAGGTAACGTACACACAGTAAGCGGGCCTTTCACAAACCATAGAGCTATAGTTGCTTGATGTTGGCCTCATTTATAAATTACATCAAGCACATTGAGGCGATAGCTGGTGCCTATACTAAGCTCGAGATAGTGACGACGACCTATGCTTCACTATATCACGTGTGCGGCAGTTGAATGGGAGCTAGATGCCAGATCACCTTTGCTGCACGGGCTTGACGGATGAGTCAGGGCGACATGTAACAGCATGTGGATGAGAGGAAGAGAAAAAGAAAAAGTGAAAAACCCCTCCGAGTCGGCAGATACTTTGCGAACCCGACATTCACGCGTTGCTCGCAGTTGGAGCGTGAACAGGGTCCGTTTAAGAATGTGACTTTGCATGTCCGGGCTCATCGTGGTCGTGGTGGCCCATATCGACCGTTGGTGCCACTCACTGGCCTAACTAGTCCGAGACCCAGCATCTCTAGCCTCGGCCCTACCAGTCGCGTACGGGGTGTGAGGTGCACCTCGTCGCTACCGCGTCGCGTTTGACGCAACCGGATTTGTTACCGAATTCCCTGCCACCGAAGAGGGACGAATGGGGACCTGAGAAGTGAAAAAAAGAAAAAAAAAAAAAGACGGATCAACGTTCACTTGCTAAGGGGCATTCGACAGGCGGCAACAGCAGTTTAAGATGAACCAAGTAATCGGCTGAGCGAAGTAGATTGAATAAATACGCAACGACAGTAACCCTAACAGAATGAAAACGATCTGGACTCTTTCTCTCTTCCTATTAAGAAAAGAAAAGAAAAGAAAAGAAAAGAAAAACGAACTGTAAAAATGACGCGTAAGACGAGCACCGCGTTTGATGAATACTGCCGATGAGGCAGGTACTGCATCCCGCATTTTTCACAGACAGGGAATAGGAGGCGGAAACTTGGATGGACACACCTCGTGCCGCATGGGTAACTCGGGAGGGGAAAGACACTGCAGACCGCGTCTCTGCAGACACTGACAGTGACACACGCTCGATTGCGCTACAAGTGGGCCGCCGGGGTCGCTAGCCAAGGGTACGTACCGCCCCTGCCGAGTGCTTGGGAGGAAAAGATGGGGTGGCGTCGCAGATGTTGCAAGATTTCCAACCAATCAAAATTCAGCCATTCACTCGTTTGAACAACAAAGCCCCAAATCCCGCCCACTGCACCCGTCTTTTTGCAAAGAGATCGCGCCTGCCCAAACGGCATTTTCCTATACACCCATGCGGACAAGGCAGGCACGCACAGGCCACCTTCCCTTTGGCGCACAATCACTCCCCTCTGCCGTCAGCCCAGTTGCCTACCTATTTATTTCCCTCCACCCTCCACCCACTCCTCAACCTTCTCTTCTACATCCACTCACAACCCATCCGCATTCAGGAACCGATCAAACCTCATCAACACCAAAACAAACCCCATCAACTTTCATCCCCCACAACACAGTCGCAATGGCCCGCACTAAGCAGAGTAAGCACCTTCACCTTCCGATCACATTCCCGCATTTTACTGATCTATTACCCCACAGCCGCCCGTAAGTCCACTGGTGGCAAGGCTCCTCGCAAGCAGCTTGCCTCCAAGGCCGCTCGCAAGAGCGCCCCCTCTACCGGAGGTGTCAAGAAGCCTCACCGCTACAAGCCTGGTACCGTCGCTCTTCGCGAGATCCGTCGCTACCAGAAGTCCACTGAGCTTCTGATCCGCAAGCTCCCCTTCCAGCGTCTGGTAAGACCATCCCGTCTCAGTGCGATAACTCTTTAACTAACACTCGTCACAGGTTCGTGAGATCGCACAGGACTTCAAGTCCGACCTCCGTTTCCAGTCGTCTGCCATCGGTGCCCTTCAGGAGTCTGTCGAGTCTTACCTCGTCTCGCTCTTCGAGGACACCAACCTCTGCGCTATCCACGCCAAGCGTGTCACCATCCAGTCCAAGGACATCCAGCTCGCCCGCCGCCTTCGCGGTGAGCGCAACTAAGCGCCTCACATTTTGGTTTTCTCTTTTCATGGGTGGTTTACGACTCGCGTTTGGGAATGCTTGACGAATGGACCGTCTTGGTTTTGGGGGTAATTTGGCGTTTACAATGCGTTGAAGAATAACGCAAGGGTTGTACATTACATAGCAGTAAAGGATGACTGCATTCAATGGCAAACACATGAACACTAGTTATCCTACTCGTTCCCCGTGATGAGATAGCTGCTCTATATTGCATGGCAGTCGGCACAACCGGCGTGGCCAGACATTCACGAACGGACCTCTTTGATTGGCACTGCCCCCCCAGAGATCCGAGGCGTTACCGACCATGAGCGACCCGAAATGTGGTTCTAGGAGAACTCGTCTACCCCCTGCTTCAACGTCATATGGCTGGAAAAATGGAGAACAGGCTCAGTCAAAGACAATACAGATCAAACAATGTTGTAATATTACGTGCTTTCTGTCTTTCTATTTCTCATCCAGATGTCCAGGTGACTGGAAATTAAAGCACTTAGTGAACAAGCTAACACTTGGCCTTCCGTTGCGTCGCATCGCAAGACTTCACACGTTTATGATCGCCCATTAATCTAGCAATTTTGGACAGGGGAAGAAAAATAGCCCGTCTATGTGGCAGAGCTTGTGCTGCGCGTGCGACGCCATCCATACTGCTGACATCTCACCACGTCGGTGTGTTTGGTTTGAATGCCTTCACCTACCGGGCGGGCTGAGTCCGACCGGAACCTCTTGGTCACGCCAACGGGGGTTGGCTTGCCTTAATTTCAAATCAAAGTGGCATCTGTCCAGTCTAAATCAGCAGGGCTGAGAATAGCCTCACCGACCAGCCCGCTTTGGAGTTTCCCATCAATAGTCTCATCGGTTAGCCCTAAATGACTCCGCTAATTGCATTTGTGTCTCGGATAGAGACGGTATTCTGACAAGTTCCTTGTCGTATAGTCGAACTACAAGATGCGCCTACGCTGCAATAACCCTCTCATCGAGCCAGTTATCAGGGATGAGAGGGAATGTGTTTGCTTTCCGATCCATCTCATCGATATCCCACCATATCCAGCGAAGCTCCGGGGTTCTCATATCTCGCCCTCAGGTTCTCTCAGACACTCTTCGCGAGCGCCCAAAAATTCTCCATCTTGGCCCGGGCCAACGCGTCTTTAGCCTCGGCATCGGATTCGCAGACCTTGTTCCCCCACTTGCGGAACGCCCTCGTCTTCTCTTCGCCCTCAAATACCAGTTTACACTCATTGTGCGACATGTCCTTGAGGTCTCCCCTCTCATTCTCTGCCACCAGCCACTCGCGCACCTGTTGCTGTGTCTTGCCCTCCCGCGATGGCGTGTTCTCTGTCCAGTCGATACGATCTAACATGAGTTTCTTGTACTTGCGTATGCTGTGTTCGCCGCCTTCCGCGACGACAAGGTTCATCTTGGGATGCATGACGCAGATCCCTGTAAGGGCGTACTGCTCGGCGTTCTTTTGGATCTTGAACCGGTGCTGGCCGTTCGCCAGACTGTTTATTTTGAAAACCAATACGTGGATACCCTTGGCGGCATCCTTCTCCTGGTTTGCAGCGAGTTTGTCGTGCTTCTCTTCCTTGGTAAGCTTGCGCTCCTCGTTGGCCTGCAAGTGGTTTTGCTGGCGTTCCGCAATCTGCCGGTTGACAAGGTTTTCCACTGCCGTCGGATCCTTCACTGCCGAATCTGCATAGACACGCATCATGTTGCTCTTCTTCACCTTGGGAGGCGGTGCTGGCACCAACCCAAGCCTGATCTTTGCCTGCTGTTCCTTGAGCTCCGCCATTCTTCTCTGTCTTCTGAGCTTTTTCTGCTCTTTCGACGTCAGGTACATCGGCTTCACCGCCGGCGTGTTCTTCTCCTGTGGTGGCTCCAGCGCGACGGGGTGCTGAATGTACTCAGTGACGATGGTGTCTTCCTTGTCGAGCTTGAGACGTGACTCATCTTCGATGTTTTCATATGTGCCATCCACCAGTCCTTCGTCGAACCATTCGATATCGGGAGGGGCCTCGACAATGAGGTTTTTCTCCATGTCCATTTCATCCTCAATACCAGCCTTCCTGGTCTGTGCAGCAATTCGTTTCTTCATTTCCTCCAGGGCAGCCTGCCGCCGCAGCGCGGCGGCTTGCTGTATGAACTTGCCCTTCGGGTGGAAGTGTAGCGGCCTAGCTTGTCGTTGTTTACCACCTGCTGGCTGTGCTGCCAGTTGCTCGTTGAAGTATGGATTCGGTTGCGTGCCGTCGCGATTGCGCCCTGACGCATCTGACGTTCTGTAGCCAGACGAATTCGCTGAGCTGGTTTCAAATTGTGACCGGATGCCCGATGGCTTCACATCGCTTGTTCTGCCCAGAGGCTTTGCTTGGCTGAGGCCCTCAAGTACTGGGTGCAACCCGACATTGAGACCACCCTTTGCTTTGGTACCTCCAATCGCTGCTGCGACTCTTGCCTTGAGTGCAGCCATCTTATCAGCGGCCGATTCTGGCTTGGACACTCGGGAATTCGGATCATGACGAGGCCCAAGGCCCACCGAGTCTGGCCGCCGATCCATCACGGTGATGTAGAGATGCCGAAGGGCTTCGAAGTGATCGACGCGAAAGGCTCCCAGCTAATCAGAAATCACAAAATAATGAGGCGATTTAGAGAGAGAGACCGCTTGCAGTAGTGATGAGCGGCTTGGGTCTGCACCGTGAGCGAGGCTCCCGTTGAGGTGGTCGGTCGCACAGCGAAACAGCAGACGCAAAGCGTGTCGACGTGGGCGAATAGAGTGAGGACCTAAAGCAGCAGACTGACAGACTCGGAGAAGGAATTCTGGGCGGGAAGGCGTTGCGATAGCGATGAATGTTGTGGGTTTCTGGGGGCAGACAAAGGTACGCGTTTGCTTGTTAGAGTATTGTCGTGCCAGGTGCTTGAAGGTCGTGTAGATTGATTATCTACATTGAGGCTCCTGCAGTGGCTCTGTGTGTAAGTACCTAGTGTGAGTGGCTGGTGCTGTGCTGCCTTGGAGCCTGGCGCAGTGCCTATTGTTGTGCAGGGGGGGAAAAAAAGACCAAAGGCGGGTCCTCCGATTTTCTGCCGCCTGCCACCGCTAAAAAAAAGTTCCCCTCGGTCTCTCATCGTCCGGGTGCTGCTACTTTCGACCGTCCGCCCCGGTCCTGTTGCTTTTGCGATCGACAGCCGTCTTGTACTCGACGCTGGATGGAAAATTTGCTCCTTTCCGCCTCGCCTTCTGTACGGACCCAGACTGGTGTCAGGCTCATTCTTTGAAGCCTCGCCGGCACCATGAACATCTCCCAACCCATCTCGTCGTCCATCGAGACGGTCGAGTTCACTTTCCTCACCGACGAAGAAATCAAGGCCATCTCCGTCAAGCGCATCGAGAACGACAGCACGTTTGACAACCTCCTCAACCCCGTCCCTGGCGGTCTCTATGACCCGGCTCTTGGATCATGGGGCGATGCTCTGTACGCAATCGCCCGCAATTACCCTCTTCCTCGCCTCAATTGACTTACACATCCTTCATAGCTGCGCCACCTGCAACTTGAATCAATCTTCGTGTCCGGGCCACGCCGGTCACATCGAGCTCCCCGTTCCTGTCTACCACCCAATCTTTCTCGACCAGGTTCTTCGTCTTCTGCGATCGCAATGTGTCTACTGCAAAGGTTTCCGTATGCGCCATCGCGAAATCAACCGCTACTCGTGCAAACTCCGACTCCTGCAACACGGTCTCCTCCACGAGGCCCACCTCGTTGACGCCATTGGCGAAGAGCTCAAGGGTCTCGCCCTGCCCGGGGTACCCACTGACTATGAGAGCGAGGCCGAGGAAGAAGGGACTTCTTCTGTCGACAACATCATCGGTGCGAGGGAAGCCTACGTCCGTCAGGCTCTCAAGTCGCACAAGCTTAGTCTCGGGGAAGTGAGGAAGGGCAAGCATGAAGGTGCTATAGAGATGCGCAGGGAGCTCATCAAGGACTTCTTGACGCAAATCACCAAGCCGCGGCGATGCGACAATTGCGGCGGCATATCGCCCGCCTACCGCAAAGATCGCTTCGTCAAAATCTTTGAAAAGGCCCTCAGCGAGAGGGATCTTGCTCAGATGGCCCAGAGAAATCTCCACGTCAAAGATTCTATGGCAACAGCAGCCCGTATCCGCAAACCCAAGTCAAAGCGCAATGCTGTCGATGCCGACGAAGGTGTCGCCGACATTGACATCACTTCAGCCGAAGAAAATGATGTTGAAATGCGCGATGCTAGTGATGACGAGCAGGACCTAGCGGACAAGGAAGATGGATCACTAGTTGATGCTGTCGCCGTCGCCCCCGGCCAGCAGCGCTATATCAGCGCAATGGAGGTTCGCGCAAGACTGCGGGAGCTATTCGAGAAGGAGCAAGACATCATGTCGTTGGTATACAACTCGAAACCGATGATCAAGAAATCTGCCGAAGTATCTGCAGACATGTTCTTCATCCGAACCATCCTTGTCCCGCCGAACAAGTTCCGGCCCGAAGCTCGAACTGGCGACTCTCAAATCTCCGAGGCCCAGCAGAACTCCCTGTACAAGATGATCATGCGGAATTGCGGCAACATTGCGAGGATACATCAAAGCGTCGGAGCCACAGACCAGTATGGACGACCGAGAGACATCACCGACTTGCATCAAGTGTGGACAGAGTTACAAGAGTCTGTCAACTCGCTGATCGACAAGAGCAAGAACCCTGTTCAAGGCGCAGCCGCCAAGAGGAACGAGGATGGCATCAAGCAAAAACTGGAGAAGAAGGAGGGCCTTTTCCGAAAGAACATGATGGGAAAGCGAGTCAACTTCGCAGCCCGAAGTGTTATTTCGCCTGACCCAAACATCGAAACCAACGAGATTGGTGTGCCCCCCGTCTTCGCGCGCAAACTTACCTACCCCGAGCCCGTGACGAGTCACAACTTCAGAGACATGCAGCAAGCCGTCATCAATGGAGTTGACAAGTGGCCCGGAGCGGCTGCCATCGAGTATGAGAATGGACAAATTGTCAACCTTCGGTCCAAGTCTGTGGACGACCGTGTATCCCTCGCTAACCAACTTCTCGCGCCAACCAACAACCAAATGAGCGGTATGAAGAGCAAAAAGGTGTACCGGCACCTGACAAACGGCGACGTCGTATTGATGAACCGTCAGCCGACGCTGCACAAGCCGTCCATAATGGGCCATCGTGTCCGTGTGCTGCCTGGAGAGAAGACCATTCGCATGCACTACGCCAACTGTAACACGTACAACGCCGACTTCGACGGTGACGAAATGAACATGCATTTCCCACAAAATGAAGTTGCTAGAGCAGAGGCTCTGCAGATTGCCGACACGGACCATCAATATTTGTCGGGCACGGCTGGTAAACCCCTCCGTGGTTTGATTCAGGACCATCTTTCGGTTTCCGTTGCGCTTTGTAACAAGGACACCTTCTTCGACCGTGATTCGTATCAACAGCTCATCTACTCGGCCCTCCGTCCAGAAAGCGGCCACATTCTTGGCGAGAGGATCGAGCTTCTCCCCCCCGCAGTAATCAAGCCCAGGCCCCGATGGACAGGAAAACAGGTCATCAGCACAATACTCAAAAACATCAAGCCACCCAACGGCGAAGGTCTTTGGATGGCTGGAAAATGTCAAGTCAAGGGTGACCAGTGGGGCAAGAGTCATGAGGAGGAAGGCAGTGTCCTTTTCCAAGACGGACAGTTCTTGACAGGCATCCTCGACAAGGCCCATCTAGGTCCTAGCTCGGGAGGCCTCATCCATTCTATCCACGAAATCTATGGACCTGCCGTCGCAGGCAAGCTGCTCAGTGGCATGGGACGACTCCTTACCAGATACTTGAACATGCGGGCCTTCACTTGCGGCATGGATGATTTGCGACTCACGTCCGAAGGCGAACAGGCTCGGCGGGAGGCCTTAAAGGCGGCCAAAACTATTGGCCTCGAGGTTGCGGCCAAGTATGTCTCACTTGAGGACAAGGCGCCCAACAGCACAGACCCGGAGCTTCTCATCCGCCTGGAGGAGGTCATGCGAGACGACACCAAACAGGAGGGTCTCGATATGCTAGTGAACCAAAGCTCCCGCATGGTTTCAAGTGCTGTAACGACAGCTTGTCTGCCCGTCGGCTTGGTCAAGCAGTTCCCCAAGAACCAGATGCAGTCGATGACAACTTCCGGTGCCAAGGGTAGTCAGGTCAACGCAAATCTTATCTCTTGTAACCTTGGACAGCAAGTTCTCGAGGGTAGAAGAGTTCCTCTCATGGTTAGCGGAAAGTCTTTGCCGTGCTTCAAGCCCTTCGAGACGGATGTTCGTGCCGGCGGCTATATCGTTCAACGGTTCTTGACCGGTATCCGACCCCAAGAGTACTATTTCCATCACATGGCTGGCCGTGAAGGCCTTATCGACACAGCCGTCAAGACTTCTCGCTCAGGTTATCTGCAGAGATGTATCATTAAGGGCATGGAGGGATTGACGGTGACCTACGACTCGACGGTGCGAGATGCGGATGGTACCCTCGTGCAGTTCCTCTACGGCGAAGACGGCCTCGACCCGACTAAGCAGAAATACCTTACTGACTTCAGCTTCGTTCTCCGCAACGTTGGGTCTGAGTCAGCCCAGCTCAATTTCAGCAATGGCTTCAAGGAGAAGCTTGCCGGCAGCAAGGATGAAATCCTCAAGCACATGAAGAGTGCCATTAAGCACGCCAAGCTCAATAGTGCTGCAGCCAAGGATCCCATCATCTCCATGGTCAATCCGGCGAGAGTGGCGTTCGCCACGTCGGAGAAGTTCTACGAACAAATGACCAACTACATTAAGGACAACGAGGACGGCCTCATTCGCGATAAGTCAGCTGTCTCGTCTGGCTTGATTAACGCCCCTGCAGTCAGCAAGAAGTCAGCGGAGCTCGTCTTCGCTGCCAAGTACATGCGATCGCTTGTCGAGGCGGGTGAAGGCGTCGGTATTGTTGCTGGACAGAGTGTGGGAGAGCCCTCGACGCAGATGACGCTCAACACCTTCCATTTGGCTGGCCACTCGGCAAAGAACGTTACGCTCGGTATCCCTCGTCTCCGCGAAATCCTTATGACGGCGAGCCGATCCATCTCCACCCCGGCCATGACTCTTCTCCTTCACGAGGAGCTTTCAGCGGCTGAGGGAGAAGTGTTTGCAAAGTCGATCAGCGTCCTGCCCCTGGCTGACGTGCTTGACACAGCAATCGTGAATGAGCGCATTGGCAAGGGCAACAACGGTGCTCTGGCCAAGCTCTACGACGTGCGACTCAACTTCTTCCCCGCCAACGAGTATACCAAGACCTACGCCATTGACACAAGCGATGTTATGGACACGATTGAGAAGCGCTTCCTTGACCACCTCTTGAAGATCATGGTCCGCGAAATCAAGAAGCGCCGTAGCGAGTCCACCTCGGCGACCCCCGATGTCGGTGTCAAGGCTGGCGTCGTGGAGATGGCGACCGGCAACGGCGAGGCAAGAGCTGCCAATGACGACAACGACGAAGATGACGACGATGGTGACAACGACGCCACGAACGCCAAGAATAAGGCGAATCGGGAAGAGGCCGTGTCGTATGGCCCCAACGACGAGGAGGATGACGCAATCCAGCGACAGATGGAACGCGAGAACTCTCCCGAGGAAGACGAAGGTTTCGAAGGCAGCCCGCCGCCGCGTGCAGACAAGGATGGCTCAGATGATGAGGATGACGGTGATGGTGACACGGACAGCGACGAGGGTGCTCTGAGAGCTGAGCGCGTCAAGGACCGTTATCTTCGCGTCACCAAGTTCCGCAACGACGAGGCAGGAGAGTGGTGCAAGTTCACGCTCGAGTTCGAGGCCAACACCCCCAAGGTTCTCATGCTTAACATTGTGCAAGCGGCCGTTAAGAAGTCGGTCATCCAGCAGATACCTGGTGTCGGCTCATGCACATTTACGGCGGATCACAAGATCAAGGACTCGGCGGGCAATGATGTGTCCGTGCCAGCTATCTACACGTCGGGATGTAACCTCAAGGCCATGCAGAAGTACGGTGACTTCATCAACCCCAACAAGATTGCGACGAACGACATCGGCGCCGTGCTCGATGTGTATGGTGTTGAAGCATGCCGAAATAACATAGTCTCCGAGTTGGCAGGCGTTTTCAGTGGCCACGGCATCAGTGTCGACAACCGACACTTGAACCTTATTGCCGACTACATGACGCGCAACGGTGACTACACGCCCTTCAATCGCAACGGCCTACGGGGTAACGTGAGCCCCTTTACCAAGATGAGTTTCGAGACGACGTTGGCCTTCTTGAAGGATGCTGTCCTCGACGGTGACTGGGACGATCTCAGAACACCCAGTGGCCGTATTGTCATGGGCCGCCTGGGTAAGATCGGCACGGGTGCCTTTGATGTCTTGACGGCGCTGCCTACGCACCACATGTCTTCCAACGCCGAGTAGGTCGGATCTCCCGGCCGCTCTTATCTGTCTTGTATCCTGTTATGGGGGTTTGGGGTTTGGTAAGGCATACTCTTTTGGCCAATAATTGTATTTGCTGTCCGGGATTAAAAGAGAGGCAACGTGACCTGAAAAGTAGTTGGCATGAATTACCAAAATGTTTTGATCATCCATACATCGAGCATTCTAGTGCATGTGACCTGCTCGGGTGATCGGACGGCCAAGGCCTAAGGCAATAGTGAAGTTGCTGGCGCACGGAAGGGGCACGGAAGGGTTCTCCGTGTGTACGGTAAAGCAGCTCTCAGTATGGAATACGTGTTCGCTGCGGACCATACTGATGAAGGGTCTGTCTGCTGCTGGCAGATGTTTGGAATCCTACTACATAGTCGTCTCCTGCCCGGGTGTAGGCAGCGTGCTCTCAGCCGTAGATCGTTCATTGGAACTGCGATGCTCACCCTTATCATCCAGGGGCCATTTTTTTTTTTTTTTTTTTGGACGGCCACATCCAGACGGTTACGAGTTGCCGCAGGTAGGCTTCTTTCCGATTAGTAATATACACTCCACTACGATACGGATAAACTTGTCGAACTGCCATAGCCCCGGCCCTTAGGCCCAGTGTCACCCGGCCGTCGCATACGAGAGGTCGCCTGGAAACCCCCAATAGCATACATACCCAGGGCCCGGCCTCGGATCGCCGCAGACGCTCCCAAGTGCAGATGCGCACGAGGACTTTTCTTTGCTCAACAGCCGCGGAAGTGGCTGGGGACTCGGTCTCAGTGTCGATCCCCAGGATGGCGGCCCGTTCTCTCAGATGATAGGAGGGGCGTGCGTATGGACCTGCGGGCTCCGATGCAGATATTACATTATGTAAAATCTATGTCATCTGTTCCCATTCATTCGAAAGAGCATGGTGGGCATTACAATGAAAAGCATTTTTGATACAAGCTGCCATCGAGGCAAAGTTGTACGGCGTACATGGAGTATTGCCTAGCAATCCTAACGGAAATGGCGGCAGGATGCGGGAGCTGGGGCTGTATGTACTGTGCCGCGTCAGTAGGGATGACATGGCATACGCAACCCACACCCAGTATGCCGGCGCATACGTCGCTCCAGCCCTACCAGGCAAGACATCCGAGACACTTCAAAACGTGGAGGGTGTGAAGTGAGTGTAAAAGAGTCAGAACACGAGGCCGCCAGCCTTGTGAGGAAGGGGGCGGGGGCGGCCAAGCGACTGTGGCCCATATACCTCTCTCCTCGGCTGACCGATCTGTCGTTTGGGTTAATGAAACGTTGACAATCTACATGCAGGCGCTTTCCGCGGCTTCGCGATCCAGCAAATTGTAGGGACGACAATAGACGCTGAAGAAGACGAGAAAGTGCAACGCTACGACGTTTGGGGGCGGTGCATCATGCACACACCCCTCCAGCTGACTAGTCGGTCCTGTATTGGTGCTGGAGAAAGGTTCCGGTGGATCAGATGGGCATTGAGAAAGTTCGATATGCCATTGTGGCCAGTAACAGGCGGTTGGAGGAGAACGAGGAACGTCAACGCAGGCAGTGCGTGTCAAGTGTATGATGAGATTGTCGGGATCCCCAGATGGCTGTTCTGATTGCGGTTATGTGGGCACATCTGGCGGCTGATGCTGGCAGAGAACGGAAAGGTACCTTTGCGAGTGGGGATGATCGGCCAGAAGGGGTGAGCTCAACGGCTGGTGTTTCCTCTCCTCAATGTGACACTGCACCAACAGCCATATGAGCTTTTTTAGCGTGCTAGTCACTTAGGTACATACTATTTGATAGGTACCTACCCAGGTAGGTGAGTCCCTTACGTACCTAAATAGGTACCTAGGTAGGCAGTATAGCCTTAATCTTGACCATGCAAGTACCCCTTGTCCAGCCTGACACTGCCCCGCTGAGACCGAGGAGACAAATAAAAAGTGTGTCTTTTGTGATTCCAGTGGCTTGGGGGGCGGTTGGTTCTGCGAGATGCCTGACACAGCGCGCCACATTGTTCTGTATGATGTTGGAACTCTCGAGTATGTATGCGTGAATCGGGGAACGTCGGGTGGCATAAACGAAAGAGAGTGAGTGAGGGAGGCAACAGGGGCCGCTCAGTAAGGCGATACCAGAATGAACAGAGCCATTACAAGTAGATATCGGATGTAGACAAGGGAAGGTTGTATCCACTCGTCAGAACCATTGAACCTGCGTGATTCCATTAAGCTAGTACTATACACTACCTACCTACCTATGTTGCTAGTTGACTTGGCGAGGCAATTGTTAAAGACAAGAAAGAGCTCATTATGCCACTTGCCATGCGGATCGGTGTATAGCTTGGTCAAGGTATTAGAAGAATCTGGCAAGGTCTTGTTTCGTGTAAGTATCTACGAGCATGGGAACATGCCATCGTTATGAGGGGGGAGCAAACTGGTGGTTTGGCGGTTGTCTCCCAGTCCCGTGAGGTGGCTGAGATGGTCCAGATAGCAATGCTCTCTTCCCCCATTGAGGTACTTATCCAAGGCGGTTCCTCTTGAGGTTCCTCCCACTTGATTGCCGCGTTGGGTCCAGGTTGAGGCACGTACCAGGATACGTTTGCAAAGTTTCTAGGTATAATGTACTACCTACCTAGATACCTAAGGTACCTACGTAAGCATTCGGTAAGGGATGGGCGGCCCCTGTAGGTACATGGGCCATCCTTCTATGCCTACCTACATGTACCAAAGTGCCTAGATATCTAACTACCTACCTGTGTAGGTACTTAGGTACCTAGGTCGATAGTTAGGTAGGTAGATAGGCACCGTACCTAAAGCGGTAGGCGGTAGTTTATGTAGTATCTCAACACACACACCTAGCATTTGCTGGCTCCAGCTCCCGAATTCCCGGTTCCACCCAAACACATCCTGCCCCTCACAGCTACAGACAAACATGGTCGAACAATGCACACTCCAATGACTATCGCACTGTATTTCGGTCAGCCAAAAGTGAAGTTTGGGACATTCTTTCGTCCTGTATGCCCAGCCCTAGGTACACTCTCCCTTCCAACGGTCCCGATGCTCGAGATGTACTATACACGACTGGCCTCGGCCAACTGTTTGTTTGGGGAACGTCCCAGGTATCATGCTGTTCTGCAAAGATGCGTTGACGGAAGCTGCTGCGCGCAGCCTATGGATATCAATATTCCCTATTCCTAACCAACTAGACCAGCACGTTCTATCAGTATAGTGCTCTGTCGCGCCCTCCCTCCGGTGTTCCAACGCCCGTAACCCAGATATCTACGTGGTCAATGTTCTTGCGCATGCAAATCGAACCCTCCCAAGCCGCTCCAATTGGTGATACATGTCATGTACGTGGGACGAGCCCACCAGCCCCCTATATCCTGCACATCATACGTCTCGTCGTGCTTCCTTATAGCCTCAGTCAATCCAAATGCGCCAAGAGCATCGTCCCGTCACCGTTGCCAGTTGTCGCCATGTGCTCCGTCGCTTATGCCCGACATAGTGCTCCTACCTTTGCTTGCTGAAGAGTCGGGGTGCAATAGGCCGCTGCCGCTGCTCATTGACATAGACATGGTAATCGACGGGAGAGGACCGGAACCTGGTCCCATGGGATGATGCATCAGCGCTCCCATGCTACGGCTGACTGGCCCCATGCCATCGTACGCATCGACGCGAAGGTCGCAGGTGCCGACATCGAAGCGTTTGGAGCATCCGTCCTCCATGTGTCTGGATCGAGGTCATTACGAGGTTTCATGGCGAGCCGACATCGCTGCGCGCTGTTTTAACTTACCTGCGAAGTGTGTCCTTGCGAGCGAAGAGTCGCCCACAGTAGTCGCACCTGTGGTTCTTCTCCTTCATGTGAACGCTCTGGTTATGTCTCTGAAGGTCCGTCTTTCGCACAAACCGCTTGTTGCAGTCGGCTACAGGACAGGGGAAAGGGTACTCCCGCTTCTCGTCATGTGTATCCAGATGTGCCTTGTAGTTGTAGCTGCGGCTGAAAAGCTTGTCACACCCTTTGAATTGACACTTGTACTGGGCATCCGCAAAAGATGTCATCTTCCGCGGCGCCCGCCTCGGGCGGTTGTGCTTCATGTTCTCTGCCCGCTTTGCCTCTTGGCTCAAGGAGGCTGGTTCGCCTGCCGGTGGGTTCTGGTAGTATTGTTCGGCACCATATTCCACCTTGGGCCAGCCTGAGGACTGGGTATCCGACAAGTAATGATGATGCGAACTGCCGTATGGGCCTGGATCTGCCATGTACGGCGTGTGCATTGGCCTCGGAGAGATGTAGTTAGAGGCGTTAATACCGGAACCATAGTCGACGTTTTCCATCTTGATCCGTGGGGCCAGCGACCTCGACGCATGTCCACCCTGCGCATAGGATATGGGGCTCCTTGGGGACAAGGGTCCAGGCGAGTGCTCGGGCGAGTCTGTAAGAGGATGCCCGTGATGACCTGGGCCGGATGGTTGGGAATGCGGCTGGAACGCTTCGGATTCGTACGATGCTGGCATCGGAGGTTCGTAGTCGGCAAACTGGTCGTACTCTGACAAGACGTTCGGGATGGAAAAGGACGAGGACGATGGCGCCATGGCGCTTAACGGGGCCCAGTCGGCTGTCGTTCGGAGATCCAAAGGCGGTAAAGAAATATCGGCATCGGCAGCCAGATCAGCAGAGCACAGTTGGCCGGCAGCGTACAATGAGGTGATCTTGTACTGCTGAGCCGCCGGGTCTGGAGATGGGTAGTCTGACGAAGAGCGCTCCGATGGGCAACAGGTATGAGCTGGAGATGCCGGTGACCGTGTTAAAGATGGTGGTGTGAGGTCCATGGCTGGCATGGCCATGGCCGCTTCCTGCTCCTTTATCGATTTGCTCCAGGCTATGTTGGACGCCAGGGTTCGGTATATATACAGGCAGGGAGGGCGTTGGAGCAAGACGCAAAGAGGAGCTGCGAGGCCAGGGGGGGGGGGGGGGGGGTTGGAGGGTGTCTGGTCAGGACGCAAGCGGGTTTGTGAGCGAGAGGAGTGGGTGGGTAGGTACAGATCAGGAGGATTGAGTGTCTGATTGGCCACCTTGTCCAAGAAGGCTGAAGGACAGAAGGTAAGATGAGGAAGGAGGCGGTTATAAAAGAAGACGTTCACGCCTAGGTAGGGGCCAACACTCAAGGCAGCAAACCAAGAAGCGGCAAGGGCTTTTTTTGGACAGAGGTGTGTAAAACCAACGGGTGCGCGTAGAACAGGACGAGCAGTGCAGGGCAGTGCAGGGCAGGGGAGGAATAAGGTAAAATAGCTTAAGGCAAGTGACCATCCGGAAGATGTGAGCAACCCAGTCAAGAGGCTTCGTGGCGTGGATTAGACCAACGGGTAGAAGGGACCCCGATCTTCGCAAGCAGTCAAGAAGACACAAGAGAACAAGGCAGAGCGGGCTACCGTTCTGCATTATTCAAGGCAGCAGACCCCGGTACGTTTACATGTTTTTTCTCGCCGTCTCAGGCTCTTTTCTCTTCTTGATCAGATATGGAGGAAGAGCCACAGGGTTGCAGGGTGATATGAACAGAAAACAAGAAGACGTAGTGCATGTACGAATATAGCACAAGCTAGAGTGAAGATGCAAGGTTGGTCAAGTGCCAGGCAAGTAATAACCAGCATCAACAGAGAGAGCAACGCCGAAGATGAGGAGAAGCAGCCCATGTACTCCTGCCAACAAGAGGGAATTGGTAACTCGAGGCAAAGTGAGATACGGACGAAGATGCCAAAAACAAGTAGAGTCCATTGATAGAAACTAGCAAACAGGACAAACGGGGCGGGGCAGGTAGCAGCAAGACAGCCGGCGGACTAGGTAGAATGGTTGGCCTTGTTGATGGTTGATGGTTGGACCAACCCGCAAAGGATTTGACCAGAGCTAGCCCTACTCCACCAGGGAGGGGTATCATTGGGGGCGGCGGCATACGTGGAGAAGATATTGGGAGGAGGGAGGGGTGTGAATATGGGGGATGATGCGAGTGAAATGGCCATGGGGCATCGAGGAAACAGGAAGTGATATTTTGGTGAACATGACGGCTGCAGACATTCCGGATACGGACAAGACGCCCCGGCGAAAGGCACAGGCAAAGAGAAGACGACGAGAAGGAAAGGAGAAGAAACCCACTAGTCACTCGCCTCGTGGTTTCTTTGAAGTACACTAGACCTAAGTGCAGAAGGGGAGCAAGGATTCGAATTGAGCGTGGATGACAACGAGCCGCGCCCTCTCTCCAACAATTCCTCCCCTTGTCGCCCGTTTGCGATATGGGCGTGCGGTGTGTCGAATCATGGTCCCAGGGAGGAAGCAGGAACCGGACAGGAAGAAGACGAAAAAACAGAAACCTCGGGGGGCGGTGGTACGATTAATGCCTGCACCAGCGTAGGCGAAGCCCATTCTCCATTCCTCCCTGAGCGATGAGTGGTCTGTCCAGCAACTTGGGAACGAGAGACTAGAGGGCCTTGCCTGGAGGCTAGACCAAGATGCAACCCTTGAGTCTTGACCGGTCACCGGCATCATCTACGCCAGGGATCTGGGGAAGGAAGAGATGGGATAAGGGGATAAGGGCCGGCGTTTGGTGTGTTCATAGCTACCTGGCTACTACTGCCATGAAAGAGGGTGGGGTGGGCGGCAAGAACTTTTTGCTGACCCGGCGGTGTCATGGTCGTTTATCGTTCTCTTGAACGAAACCCAGTGTCATCTCGCCGTGCGTCTCGGCTGAGTTACCCATCATTTAAAGCGTTTTTCTACCCTCTCAGAGGCCCGCCCTTGGCCCAAACAAAACTTCCTGTTGGAACTAGGAATGAGGTGCTGGGCCCGTATACGTAGCCGTAGGTACCACATTTCAGTCTTGAAGGGACCGTTGGTTCAGGATGAAGAGAGAAAAGAGAGGGGCAAAGGTCAATATTTGTCACTCAGCTGCTGTTGATGGTTGGAAGTTGGAACAACAGGAACCAACCGTTTAATTAAAGACTCGCCGGGGAGACTGACCCAGACCGGATGGAGCGTGTGCTTAAAGTGAAGAACCTAGCAATCGATTGAGCCACATCGGCCGTGGTGGGGTCGGTGACAGGGCACGTACTACAAGTATCCTTCTTGGTACCTACCTAGGTAGTCTACCTAAGTACCTAGATACCTACTCAGGTACCTACTTAGGTGCCCAGTGCCTTAAGTACTTACCTAGGTAGGCATGTACTCACTCATCTGGGTGCCTGGCACCCAGGTACCGCCTTTGGGAAATTGAGGCAGCTGACAGTGTACGACGTAGTGGACTTCACACCATGTAGGTACCGTCAGCCAGAGGAAGAGAAGGAAACTCGATTCATACGCACGCAACCCAGAGAACAGTCTAAGGTTGTCCCGTCGGCAGAGAGAAAGCAAGCCACCAAAGCATTGACATTGGACATGAAAGATATCAGGCACATACCTTAATTGGAGGCCGGTGCCTATCTATCATCGACGTAGGCTTCCATCACGTTGCCAAAATGGGAAAGCCGCCGGTCTCATTTGAGAACCCCCAGCCTCGGACCTCTAGCCGTGGCGCCTACCCGCCTCCTAGCGTTGGCGTTGGCACCGACACTGGAAGAACCGATCCACTGTGCAGGGAACAGCAGCACGCAGCAAAGCTACTACTAAGTACCCGTTCATCGAGGTGTTGTCTGTAAATACTACTGCCCCAACTGCGACGCTGCGAGGACGTTGGACGCTACCGATTCGTTGCTCCGACCATTTCATTGGCGGCCATCCGCGCGCCCGTTTAAGTGGCGTCAGCATTAGGTGTGGGATGACTGCTGCTAATGGATGGCGTGCGTTGCAATGTCCTTCCCCCCCCCCCCATGCAAATCATTCAAGAGCCAGGACAACCGCGCCAAAAGTCCCCAACCACAATCAATCTTGGCGTCAGCAACATGTCCGTGTCGATGTCGAAAGGGACAAGACAAGCAGTACAGTGCGCATTACTGGGGACTCCAGACGTGGAACGCTCTGCTCTGCTGTGATACCGACCAACGACCCAGGAAGAATTGCGTCATTCCTCTTCAATGTCAAGGATCCGGCATCGAGACCGCAGAAATGGTTGAGAGTACTATGTGCTTGTTGCTGCGTGCGACTACGGATTCTTCAAGAGTGATCAAACAGGAACACTCGTCCATTGACGGTCAGGCTGGCGAGCCCTTCCAATCTCCTACTATACTGGCTTGGGTCGAGCAAAAGAAAAGGACTGGCCCGGCCAGGTCTGGCTTAATCAGTGGATGGACATACAGTGATTTGTGAGATGTACGTACTCATTTGTTCATATTTTTCCGGTCATGGTGCAACAAGTAGTCGTCCTTCGTAGTCAGACCTCTCTTATCTCATATCGAATTCCTGCAAGGTACTTTTCTGTGGGGTCTTCGGAGTTCGTCAAGACGATGCAGACTGAACACCACCAAGGTTTGTCACGCCCATGTACTGTACTACGTATATTCTTACAGTCTTACAGATGTTATCAAGCTTCCCCTCTGCCAAGCTCCCGTCCCATCCAAGCGCCCCCTCGCTCGCTGGCAGCCGAAGTGACCAAAGTGACCAAAGTGACAGGTATCTCACAAGGTCCCCATCAAAACCAGTCCCTCGGCCGAAAGACGGGGCGACGAAGCGAGATGAGCAGAATATCTCTGATTGGATGTCGCAAAACCGGTGCGCCGCTAATTAGGCAGCATTCGATGGTTGCATCTAGCTTGCCAGTCTCCCAACGTCGGTCTCCACTCCTAACCACTTTTTACTCCTTCCCTTTTCTCTCCATAATAAGAGGAAAACAGGGAGCAACAGTCCTTTACTCTACAGATTCCATTCCAACCAACAACGGTTTCTTTACCCCGGCCCTCTTTGTTGGCACTGGCGTCCCTGAGGCCCCGAGGAACCTCGAGGAACCTCGAGGAACCTGATGTAGGCAAGCATCGAAGGATTCTTGGTCTCATGCTCACGATGTCGTTCTTGCTGGAATTCAGGCATCAGGGGTCAGCCTTGAACCCTGAATGCAAGTTGCAGAGGGAAAACGACACCCTTTAGCCTGTAACCCCTACAATTATTATGGACTCTCTCTATGTTTCTGTGTTTGTCTACCCGGGCTCAACAGCCGCCACCCCCACCCAATATTAGACCTTGCCGGAGTCTACATAGCAATCCTCGGTGACTGCTCCAACCTCTCGTCGGCACTAGTCGTGGGGCGAAGGCACCAGAGGACCAGAGTTGATACGTCGGCGAAGTCATTTCTTGTGTCCATGCTCGCGTCTGGTTGCAGGCATCCTTCTTTTCGAGACCGCAACATTATACTCGACACAGCAGCACATGCCGCGCCTAGGTTCTCTGCTTTAATTAGGAACCGTTTAGAAGGATTCTTCTTGTCTCTTCCGCACCATCTGGTGGGCATACTGGCGGGCGAAGACTCCGTGCGACAAACGAGTCTGGAGAAGCCTAAGCGCGTGAAAACCGTTGATACCAATTAGAACTTCTGCCCACACTACTGCGAGGTAGGCACAGAAAGGAATGGATGCCCCTGCATTCGGTTTGGCGCTCGAGAATGCGGAGCAAGGGTACCCTGGAAGCGAAAGCGTAGCCGGGCGTACGGAGCAGGGCCATGGTGGGTGCTGGGAACGGAACTTTGGTCAATGGGCAGTTTGCCTTTTGGATTTCCCAGTATCTTACCCGTTTCTCGAGCGCTGTCTGATTAAGTGCTGACTGTGGCTCGCTCCAAAGTGGGTGCGTTCAATAGCGGGAACCAGCTACACCCAAGGCACGTAGTCATCGTTGCCCATGCCAGTCTCAGCGTGCTAGAGAACGGATAGATACCCGCACAGACCCTATCGAGCTCAGCTATACGCCGTTGAGCCATTGGTCATCCAGAGCGGGCGGTGAATGTTGATTTGGGACTACCAGTGACATCCATAGACGGTGTGCCTTTGTTTCCGGCCACCCTTTCTCTACTTTGGCAATGCGGCATCGCTTGACACACTGTTGGTGGATGACGCTGCGAATAACTAGCTGGATCGTCCACCTGGACGGCAACACTTTGCCGGCTCAACTCCGTGGTATATCGTGCTTTCTGAAGAGAACTTGGACGATGAACGATGGGCAACGAGTCCAGTACTAAAATGGCCTTATGGGTCGATCGATATCTATCCCTCGGTGGCTCTCGCGCTCATGCGCCCGCTCTTTTCCCGTGGCGAGGTCTCGTCTACCGTCGGAGCCGAATGCAATTATTGCTTTCGAGGGCCTCGAGAGAGGCGCCAGATTCCAAACGCTCGTCGCTTGTACAAGTGCCCTAGTGGCAGAGTCACTCTCCAAGGCCCGCTCGACGCAGGCCACCCTGTCGAATGCCAGGGCCCTTCTTACGACCAAGATGGATTTTCATCCTGGATATCTTTATACCGCATGGACCCCGCGTAGCCTTGCAACGACAACTGATCCAAACCTCGCAGCGGACCACGGGGCGGCGTTGCTAGATGCACTGCAAGACATACTGCATGGGTGACTGCATTAGTCGTGAGTTCTCACCGTGACAGCGTTACCAAGTCGGAAGCCCGTGTGTCCACGGACAGTAACGAGTGAGGCAGATGCCTGCCACCTCTTGCTTGTGTCTTGTCTTTCGTGGTCACTGCCGTCGTACTGGTTATACGCCGCTTGGCTGCAGTGCCTCCAAGAGTTCTAGCTCAGAGACCACGGCTTCCGAGCCTGCCCTTTACTGTTCAGCCCTTGCGGGGAGCTGGTACCTGGTTCTCACGAGTCCTATACTGTGCCGGGCGGGTAACCATGAGGGAGTCCCCTTCTTGGTGATGCATTTAGCTGACTGCCGTGCGTAATACGGGCATGGCGGATTTCCAAGCCACCAGCTCCTGGGTTATGAGAGATGCGCCCGACAAAATCCAGAACAGGCAATCGACGGCATCGCTGTTCAATGTGCGCGAACACGTCCGCTCGATCCCACGATCGATCAGAGGAACGGGACTGTTAGCAGAAGGCGTTGGCCAACCTCGTGTCGTTGCGTTGCCCTACGGGCCTCACGGCGCCCATTGCTGGATGCAATGGCGCCAAAAGGATTGTCATATGCAAGTCTATGTAGATCTTGCATGCGAAAGCCGCACACCAAGAACCAAATTTGGTAGCAAGACAGGTGAGAATCAGAAGAAAAATGCGCTTGGTCATGCTGAGTTGACGCAAGTTGCTTCTCAACATGCTTCATTAGGTAAATCGGTGGGAAGGAAAGGTGAGGGAGACAGGGAGAATGGCATCGGCCGTTAGGACTTGGCCTATGCTGACCTCGGTCAGGAGGTCCGGGCCCGGGCTATTGGTATTATATAAGCAGTGACCATTGCGGTATCGCATCACGTGATAGCGCGACGTTTTGGCACCAGAGGAAGCTGCTGGGCTCCTCTAGAGCTGCCTCAGTACTTGGTACCTTAACTCACGTCACTGTTCGCCTTCACGTCCACACCGCGAACCTCACCATTATTGTCACCAGCTGGTGAACCTGCCATAGCTCAAAACTCACGTTCCATTTTATGAGATCTGCCGCCGAAGCTGGAATCCGTGACCACGATTGCTTCGTTCCCTCCGCCCGCCTTCCGGCACACTTTTCCTTCGTACCATCAACACAACAGCCTCACCCAGTCCTGTCAATTCCAGAAAACCCGCCATCTTTCCATCCTTGCTGCTTCGGCCCAGAAGAAGACGCTCTGATTAGCGACGACGGTTTCGCTCCTCCCGAGCCGTTAGATTTAATGCTCGTTGATTAGTTAATCAACTGGCCGTAGCCGCCTCCCTTACTCAAAATGAAGTTCTTCATCGAGTGAGTAATGAAGTCTACGCCTTTCACGACGCTCTCCACATGTCGGCTAACTAAGAGCTCATAGTGAGCTGCCTGTTATTTTCCCATATCCTAGGATATATCCGGAACAATATGCGTGAGTACAGCTCGGTTGGATACTCAGACTTAGCATGACGCTGACGGCCGTATGCGTGATTAGGTACATGTGCGACCTCAAAAGTGAGTCCAGGTGCTCTCAGTTCATTCAGTATGAGACGCAACCGAAGCTGACACTCGGACTTGATGTTCAGAAACCCTGGATGCAGGCGGGCACTGCGTTCTGGAGATGCCTTCAGGAACGGGAAAGACGGTCTCGCTGCTCTCGCTCATTGTTGCATACCAGCAGCACAACCCCGAGCACCGGAAGCTTATATACTGCTCTCGTACGTTACCAGACCGCCCGAATGCCACGTTCGACTCACCATTCTGGTCCAGCTCTGATAGTCAACAGGTACCATGTCCGAGATCGAAAAGGCGCTGGCCGAGCTGAAAGCTCTTATGAAGTACCGAGCAGAGGAGCTCGGTGAAGAAGAGGAGTTCCGCGGCCTCGGACTGACGAGCAGAAAGAATCTATGCTTGCACCCTTCCGTCAAGCAGGAAAAGAGTGGCGCCATCGTCGACGCTCGTTGTCGGAGTCTCACAGCTGGGTTCGTCAAAGAAAAGAAGGATCGTGGGGAGAGCGTCGATGTCTGCGTATACCACGATGTGCGTGAAGTGTTGCGCCACAGTCCAGTCCCTATGCATTGCTAATGGGCCACAGAACCTGGACCTGCTTGAGCCACACAATCTCATCCCCAACGGAGTCTGGACGTTCGAAGGCCTCTTGCGATATGGCGAGCAGCACAAACAGTGCCCTTACTTCACTGCACGTCGCATGGTAACATCGCCCCCCAAACGCACCGCCACGGCCGAGCCCATGTCGCTAACAAGCTGAAAGATGCAATTCTGCAACGTCATCATCTACTCCTATCACTACCTTCTCGACCCCAAGATTGCCGAAAGGGTGTCTAGAGAGCTGTCGAAAGATTGTATTGTGGTCTTCGATGAGGCTCACAACATCGACAATGTCTGTATCGAATCCCTCAGCACGGACATCACGGAAGACTCTCTCCGAAAGGCCACAAGAGGCGCGCAGAATCTGGAACGGAGGATTGCAGAGATGAGGGACACCGACCAAGAGCAGCTTCAGAATGAATACCAGAAGCTGGTCGAGGGCCTCCGCGGCGCCGACGAGGCACGGCAGGAAGACGCTTTCATGGCGAATCCAGGTAGGGATCGTTCGGCCATGGTCCACCTACTGGGCAACGGTTAGCTAACACGCCCAAAGCATTGCCCGACGACTTGCTCAAGGAAGCGGTTCCGGGTAACATCAGGAGAGCCGAGCATTTTGTGTCGTTCCTGAAAAGATTCATCGAGTATCTCAAGGTGGGTTGGCTTCTCTAGAGAGCAATGAAAGCTCGCGTGCTGATAAGCCGGCAGACCCGCATGAAGGTTAGACACACGATATCGGAGACGCCGCCGTCCTTCCTTGCCCATCTTAAGGAATACACCTTTATCGAGAAGAAGCCCCTAAGATTTTGCGCCGAGAGGTTGACGTCGCTTGTGCGGACTCTTGAACTTACCAACATTGAGGATTACCAACCCCTCCAAGAAGTCGCCACCTTTGCCACTCTTGTCGCAACGTACGAAAAAGGCTTCCTGCTGATCCTCGAACCATTCGAATCGGAGACGGCAGAGGTGCCCAATCCAGTGCTGCATTTCACATGCCTTGACGCCGCCATCGCGATAAAGCCCGTCTTTGACAGGTTCAGCTCCGTCATCATCACGTCGGGAACCATGTCTCCACTTGAAATGTACCCTAAGATGCTGGGCTTCTCGACTGTCGTGCAGGAATCATACAGCATGACCCTCGCAAGGAGATCCTTCTTGCCAATGATCGTCACCCGTGGGAGTGACCAGTCTTCCATCTCCACCAGTTTCCAGGTTAGAAACGAGCCGAGTGTCGTCCGGAACTACGGCACCCTTCTCACCGAGTTCGCCAAGATCACGCCGGACGGCATGGTCGTATTCTTTCCGTCGTATCTGTACATGGAGTCCATCATTAGCATGTGGCAAGGAATGAACATTCTTGAAGAGGTCTGGAAGTACAAGCTCATTCTCGTCGAGACACCGGACGCACAGGAGACGTCGCTTGCGCTGGAGACCTACCGGACGGCCTGTTGCAATGGCCGCGGCGCCGTTCTGCTCTGCGTCGCCCGAGGCAAGGTCTCGGAGGGTATTGATTTCGATCATCAATATGGCAGAACCGTGCTCTGCATAGGCGTTCCGTTCCAGTACACTGAGTCTCGAATCCTCAAGGCGAGGCTCGAGTTTCTCCGCGAGACGTACCGCATCCGCGAGAACGACTTCCTGTCTTTTGACGCCATGCGCCACGCCGCGCAGTGCTTGGGCCGTGTTCTGAGAGGCAAGGACGACTACGGTATTATGGTCCTTGCGGACCGCCGGTTCCAGAAGAAGCGCGCGCAGCTGCCCAAGTGGATTAACCAGGGTCTACTCGACGCCGACACGAACGTAAGCACCGACATGGCCGTCAGTAGCGCGCGACGCTTCCTCAAGCAGATGGCGCAGCCGTTCCGGGCAAAGGATCAGGAGGGTGTGAGCACCTGGAGCTACGAAGACCTGATGAAGCACAAGGAAAAGATGGATTTGGAGCGCATCCAGGAGCTAGAGGAGACCGGCGCCGGTGGCAATGGATACGGGGCCGACGGCGGAGACGAGTATGGCATGAACGATGACCTTGACGACGACCTGATGGAGATTGACGACGGCTTCTGAGAGAGTCTCACGCCCTCAGATGGTCCGTCGGGCCAGCGCATTTGGAGTTGACGGGTGACAAGGGAGAATTCTGCGGTAGTCTTTGCCTGTAGTCTAGGCATGGAAGGCCAAGATTATATTAGGGCCCTCAGCTCCAGATCAAGCAAATAAAATAGCTGTCTAACGTAGAACCCACCAAATCTTCTGCTTGGATGACTACGTGGAGCGACAATTTCTCCACCCATCTACCTCGTTCCCTGAATCCCCATGTCTAGGCACCGCCGGGTCTATCTATGGTACAAATGGAGGCCGTCGTGGCCGCTAGATGCTCACCCCAACACAACTCTCTTAGCCGCCTTCTGGGCCCTCATGGCAGGAATGGTGTTTCCCCTGCCTGGCTTCCTCCCGACCTCCATGCAAAGCATACGGATAAAGTCCTGGCTTGTCCAGTAGCAGGTGTGCGCGCTCAACATGTTGAGGTACTGGATCTCCAGAGGGCCGCCGCCGAACCTCAGATAGTAATCGATTTGACCGTTATCGTTGAGTAGGTACGCCTTCCTTTCCGCTATCTCTTCCCGTGTGAAGTCGTGGACCTCCAATTCGAGCTGTGAGGGCAAGCGCACGAATGATGGTTTTGGCACCGCGGGAGTGACTGGGGCGGGTGTTGTGCCCGGCACCAGGCTTTTCATCGCGTTGCCAACGTACTTGAAGATGGAGTTGGCACTTGATGGCACAAATGCTGTTCTCAGGCTCGTGGCATACACGGGGTCTATGGTGCCGTTCAGCAGGTATGCGATTGGGTCCTCCTTGGCCAGCACATTGTAAATGTTGTCCACGGCGATGCAGCCATACCGACCGGCCTCGCCCGTCACTTCAGGCGCGTTGGTATCAGCGGGATCCGCGCCGGGTTTCATTCTCCCGCGACGAGGCTGAAGCATGCCCCTCTCAAGGAGCAGGAAAAATCCGGCGGGGCTTCCTACGAGAAATAGGTTAGTTGTGTCGAAATCGAAGAAGTCTGACTGGGGCATTTCGGTCGACAGATCCAGCCTTGGGACGCGCGTGGGTTGCCGCGAGAGGATCTCGATAGCCATGGCGCTGCCTAGAGAGTGCCCGATCATATGGATTCGCCCTCTCTCTGCAAACCCAGGATTATTTCGGCACCAGAGTCGATATACACGATTGGCTTCCGTGATCAAGGCCTTGATCATTTTCCCCTTATGGTGAGACAAGTAGAACGGTATGTCGAACATTACGTCCGATATCATACTTCGTACCGCGGGGATACTGCCGGGCTCGATGTCTTTGAGACCGAAGCCGTCCGGTACGTGTGTTGCCTTGTCTTCCTCGGTCATCGGGCCACCATCTTCGAATGACAGGGTGTGGCGCCAGTTGATGGGGAGTAACATGATGCCGTTCTGATCTTCTCTCAAAAGCTCCTTGACTGCTGGGTTGGCCAGTTCCAGGTTGACCTCGCGGCGGAAGGCATTGATGGCGTGGGTGAAGTGGAAGCTTTCGACCCTCTCTGCAAACTTCTGCCCAATGCCGTGGACGACAAGAACGAGGTCCGTGACCTGGCCACGCTCTTTCTGCGCCTGGCAAGCCGCGCAAACGTCTTGCGCAACGGCCTCGGGCGAGTCGCTGGCGGAGGACGCCAGCTGGTTGGCAGCGTCTCGGTTGGCCTTCTTGTCGTGGACCCGCTCCCAGGCTTGCCGGTCGAAACCACGCACGATCGGAATACCTACGGTCATGCCTTTCATGATCTTCGCGACAGGCCGTCTGCCGTAGTAAGCCGAAGGCTTCAGACTAGGCTTCAAGAGAAAGGCTTTGGAGGCGTCCTTGTAGATGACATGGTAGGTCGCATAGCTCCGATGCTGCTGAGCGGCCGTTCCTGCCTTCAAGTTCGGATCGATGGCGCCCTCGGCCGCAGCCTCTCCACGGAAGCAGTTTGCGGCACAGAATGGGTCTGTTGATATGCGCGCGTCCGAAACTATTCGCTTGTCTCTGTCGCCGAGAGACTCCATGTCGTCTGGCCACAGCCGATGCGACACTTTCTCCTCACCGAGGGGGCCAACTTCAACTGCGCAGCGCAGCTCATCGTTCCAAGTCTCGGTGTGGGGCTTCAGCTCTCGATAGCCAGCCTCCAGCTGGTTGGCCACGGCCGGGGGTATGGGCAGCATCGTGTCTCTGCACGCCTGTCAGGACTCTCGCAGTACAGTGCAGGGGCGCACAACAAACCTGTAAAACCAGGTGGCCCGGAGGACCACGGCGATATCGTTCACGGGGGACCAATAAATAGGTTTCATCTGCAGGGCGGGAATAGAGACAAGGTGCAGACGAGAGACACCAACGACGACGTCGATCGCCTCCTTCCTATAGCTTTCATCGCTGACAAGCTTGGTTTGCGTGGTATTTGCCCTTTTTCTCGCCGACTCTAATGAGGCGTTCGGCGGTTGCGCTTCACGCCCTTCGGCGTCGTTCTGATTGGAAGGTTCCGGAGGAGGGAACGAAGTCGCAAAATTGTCCTGCGGTCTCTGCCGAATTCCAGCTCGAACGAATGGCTTACCAGAGATGCCATCGTCTACCGTATGCTGTCGAAACGAGCTTCCGAGACCCGGGGTTGAGGGCCGCGAGGCTTGCTCACTCGCCTGAGATTCAGACCTCGCCCTTGACTTGGCCGCATCCCCAATGTTTCCGGACTCCTTGCCGAGCTTCTGTAGCTCATTCGCCGCTTCTCGGCGAGGGCTGAAGGAGCCAATGATTCCCATCTGCCGTGACTGAGCCGACTCCGCACGAGTCTGCGAGGATGAAGTGCTCCCGAGCGGGGACCGGGATTCCGCGGAGGAGGTTAACCGCCTCAGCTCCATCATCACGTCTTGCACAACACTCTCCTGGCCTAGCGAATGATGATACTTCCTGGCTAGCGCACAGAAAGTGTTCTGTAGTTCGGTGGACACATCTATAAACAGGTCCGGGCAGCATACGGAAATCGGGGTATCCGGGAGCATGTCAGAAGCCTCGCCTGCTGAAGACGATACCTGAATGGCACCGCCATGTTTGTGGATGTGCTTCACAGCCAAGTGACGCACCAGGAGAGCCAGCTTGGCTGCGTTCGCTTTCTCCATGGCTGGGCTAGGTTTTCGACCTCGTGCCAACTGCTCGTGGGCTTGGATATCATCGTCAGATAGGAAGCTCAGCCAAGCCTTCTCGAGAGCGTTGTTGTCGCCCAGCGAAAAGGGTCGAATCCGACCGCGTGCGGTCCGCGCGTCTGAGGCACCGGCAATGGTTCCAGGGGACAAAGGATCATCTATGGGTATGACCGAAGAGTAGAAGTACTGCGCGGTAACGGGAGGGATGTCGTCTTTGGCGTCAGCGGGCAAGGATTGCGACACAGGCGCAAGGCGGCACTTCGGGCCATACGTGTGGGTTTGCGATGAAGAGGTCATTTTGAGCAGCCGATTTTGTTCCCCAGGTTGCTTCTGAAACTGCGATGGTCAAGATACGAGGTTCAGTATATCGGGGTTTGCGGAAGGTCGGCGGTTTGACTGGACGCCGGGATTCAGGAACGAGGAGGAAGGGTCCAGTGCCCTATTCGCAAAACGAGATCAGATATTACGGGCGGCTGTAGGTGAGCCTTTGGAGTTTCGTGGACTTTGGCATGATTCTAGTAGCAAGATTCGAGGGTTTGTGTCGCCGGGGCAGCGAACAGAGAAGCGTATCGTCGAGGAGGCGAACTGCGGCTGTGCAAGCAATGTCACATCAGCCTCGATTCAAATGCAAACAGTGCACACAGTGGTCAGTCAAGTTACCAAGACTTAGGCCGCGTGGAATGAGGGAATGAAAGGCTGGCGACAGCCAATCCACTGAGCTTTGGAGTCGCGATGATCCGGAACACCGTGCAGGTTATTCGAATTGGTTTCTGGGTATGTGGAGAGAAAGCCGAGTCTCGGGGCCCAGGTCGAAAGTCTGGCCGTTAGTCCAGGTACCGGAGACGATGGTGCGTAACCTCCCGGAGTATTCATCACTCGGATGGGAAATATGAAGAGCAAGCGAGGAGGAGCTCGTGCATGGAGCCGGCAGCCTTAGTAAGGCAGAAGAAGGGCATGTGCTTCACCAGTACGTTTGTGTTTTGTCTCCAGGCGCTCAATGACGTACCTCTAGACGATGGTCAGTGCTTCATCATCTTCTCACTCCGGGTTGCACGTGCCTTACGAGCCACACGAGTCACACGAGCCACACGAACTGGTCCCCTACTCCCGAGCCACCCCAATGAGCCGGGGATTGTGACACTCCCGACTTCCTTACCCCACCGCCTCAACGTCTGTGCTACGCCGCCAGGGGGCTGCTCTCCTGCTGCATCAACTTGGCTTGCTAGTCGATCGGTTTAGGAATTCTGGGGATGGCGTCACAGGGCTGTCGATGCTTCCACCCAGAGCGCTCTACCTATCTGTTCCCCCTTTCTCTATCTCTTCTATTTTAGTTTCGTTCACTCCAAACAACTTCAGGACGAGCTTGCTTTACTCTTGTGGAAGAAGAAGGGAATGATACAAGAGGGGCCCCCATTAACCTTGACAAGTGATTTGGTTTCTCATAGCTAGCTTGCAGGTTTTCTGTAAGCGGGAAAGGCTAGGGGGACATACCTGGCCAGCATTGACATCTCGTCGCCAACCAGTTTCTCATTTGCATCGAAGAAGGATTGGCTCCGTCTATAGTGGGTATACGACGGGTGGGAACAGGAGGAAACCTGGACCCGGCACTCGGGTGGGAAAAAAAAAAACAGGATACTTTTCCCCAACATCACCAATACACTACAAATACCATCAATTCAGAAGCCTGTTATTTCACCTCGTAGTTTAAAAAGCTCCTTCCTCCTGTATGTGATGCTTTTGGCCTCGATATATTCATGAGCGCCTTGTTATGACGTGTTTATGATGCATTAAGGGCTGGGTGGCTTATTGTGGTTGTGGTAGTAAGGGAGGTAGGTAGGTGGCAGGTAAAAGGTATCCTGTCCCCCCCCCCCCCGCGCGCACCCGAGTGCCTGGGCAGGCACTCAAGCCAGTGAACACTAAAGTATCAAGTAAAGAAGTGAGGGGCCTGCCATCGGAGAATATCAGGAGCCGAGAGCCCATAGGACTGGGCCCCCCTGCAGGGCCTTTCTAGCCTACCATGAGGACGATCCTTTGATGACCGAAGCAGCGTCCGGCGGATGCTCCAGGAGGAGAACTCGCGTGACGTCTTGCCTCGTCTCAGTCTCATTCCGTTCTCCAGGTCGCTCATTATCAGTACATCGTCACAGCCATGGGTTGGCATTTGGTGCAATCACGCATGGAATCCGGGTCTGCGGGGTTGTGATGAGATAACTGAACACAGTGACGCCGTGGACGTCAAGCTAACGGCAAGGAGTTTGGATGAGAGCAGCATCAGGAATGAGCCTCCCGCGGAAGAGCCGGCCAGTAGAGACGAAAGTGAATTGGTCACCCGGCACTCACATCCATGCAGCAGTTGGTCAAGACTCTTCCTACTCTGGTTGAGCCTGATGGGCAAAGAGTGATTAGATGGGCGAAACACCACACCAGACAGATGCAAGATGTCGAGAGCAGATATCCGTACTGAAACAGAACCAGTCATTGGTTTCTTGTGTTACACAGAGAGCGTCGACAATGGCGGGTTGCGGGTGCGGACACAAACGCAGGAAGAAGATGCAGAGGCGGGCACTGAGTCTCTTGCTGCCACTCTGCATGTTTCAAGAAGGCCAGACAGGCAAGGATGGCGTGAACTGGATGCATGCCGTCAGGACACGCACCTCGCGACCCCGCTTGGCTCGTGCACGGTATCCCCTCATCCCGCATGGCATGGCAGAGTGGAGCCCCGGATTGGCCAACGTCTTGGAACTCTCTCTCTCTCTCTCCCACAGATGGATGGATTTAATGTGAATGAGGGAGACTGAGTGGCACGAGACGTCGTGCCTTCTTGGGGCCTTCACAGCATGGACGGTGTGGATGTGATGTGCAGAGGAGCGAACCGATCGAGTGCGTTTCCTGTAAAAAGGCGTGATCAACGGCTTCGAACATGGTCACTTTCACCAGACCTACACGGTCTCCGCTCTCAATGGGGAGGGAAAGGCGATCGAGTGATGTGATCCCATCGGGGTCGTCGATTGCATGCTCTCGCCGTGTATAGTAGTGTATTGATAGCGCGATAGTAGTGGTGCATGGCGGATACTGTGGCACCCAATGCGAACGGCGCTACAATCACTGAATGCAGCTGCAGCAGCGCTAGCGCCGACGCCCCCGTAACTCTCCACCTGGAATGCGACACCACACTTTGTCCTGCAAACCCCCGCCTTCCCCCACCTGTCGTCTGCTGGGTCCTCCCAAGGCCAGCAGGGCCTCCCCCGGCCCGGGGGTCTTCCTGTCTTTGAGCAGTCCAGTTGTGTTTGTGTTGGCCCACTCACTGTGGTGTCGTTATCTTGGCTGATGTCGCGACACCGGCGATTCCACTGGGCGTCATGAGCTAGGGGATCTGGGGTGACTACTCGGGGAGCTAGGGCGGCAGGAGTACTCTGCCGAGCCGACTGCTATGAGGAGGGGAGGGGGGGTCAACAATCTCGTTCCACAGTCTACGCAGCACCAGGCAAGACGATGAGTGTTTGTCGACACCATCGACACCATTGGCCCCATCGCTATTTAAACAAGATGTGTGCTACCAAGGGCGGTGGTGGCAGCCGTCGCATTGGTTAACTGATCCCGAGTGATACCACACACACGTATCTGCCTCTACCTCAGTAGGTAGGTATCTACCTTCCTACAAATGCATTAGGGTACTTAACCAGCCCCAAGGGAGCGCAGGGTGACCGTGCTCCAAGCCAAGATCCAAATCGCAGGCCTACTACTCCGTACTAGTAGGTACCGGTAGGTAGGTAGGTAGTCCACATTGCTTCTTCCCCTTCCATACTCAGCACGTCTTGCTTGGGTGAGGTGCATCTGCTCACACTCACATCCTTCTATTATCCCTCCTCCCAAACTGCATAGGCGGCACTGTACGACGACCATTACTGCTACTCCACCAAACCTTGTGCCCTTTGCCGTTTTAATGTGCAGCCATCCCGACTCATTTCTTCTCCTTTTCATCTTCACCTGAACCCCTCACCGTTGGTCGTTACCTACTGCTGCTCTCTCCTGGAAACGTCGTCATCAGGTGTTACAAGGCCTCGCGTAACCACCTATTTCGGTCTGCCTACTTGCGGTAACGAGCACCAGGGTATCAGCTCGGCTCACGTCTGGGAACATTTGGCATCTAGTTATCATTGTCCCTGTCGTTACAAGAGACCCACCTAAGGCGCTGCCGCTTATCACGAACCGGCGCTACTGCCTCTTTGCCGCTGGCGCTGGCATCACTGTTGGTTGCGTTTGGGGTACATGCGCGATAAGGATCGACCACCACCACCAAGTCGATCCAAATCACCCAGCCCAGCCCGGTTGGCTTGAGTGCGTTTCCTCTCCCCCCTCTCCCCCTCCCAGTGTGCGGTGTGGTGCCGTGTTACACCCCAACCCATCTGCAGTGACAGACGCCCTACCCCCTTCCTTTTCTCTTCAACAACTCTTGGGAAGACGAGCTGGACGCCACGTCCTCTCTGCAACTGCTCGCTTCCATCGTCTCATCCCAGCTCTCTGTAGTTTCCAGTTTTATTCCCGACAACGAATCTTTCGGGGTTCCAGATAAAGATACTCGGGTAGAGAAACAGCACAAGCCGCCACCCCGCCCGTCTGTACGCCTGAACTCAGTCAGTGGCTTTGGCTGCATCGCCCGTCCCAATCCCACGACCAGTCGTCGATAAACAACACTTAGCAGTTCATTGTCGTTCACAGCCCGCCGAGGACGCAGAAGCTGCTGCTCGAGATGGCGACAATTGCCCTTCCGAGGCCGATTCTCCCGCATCGTCCAACATCGACGGTGAGCGCCGTTCCCTCTATATCGCTCGAGCCCATCGGCACCGCCCAAGTTCCCCTCCCCAACAAGCACCTCCCCGTCTGTCCACCGGGGCCCGTTCCTGCAGAGGAGCCCAACACTCCGCCGCCGTCTCCTCCCCACGACGACGAACCGGCTCAGCAGTCCTCGCTGTTGTACCCGCCCTCAAAGTTCTCCAGGTACGAATCTGGACCCGTTGCCGTTTACACAATCCGCCCCGCCGACGTTGCTGCTGCCCTGGATTACATCTCCCGCCAGCCGTTGCCGGACCCAAATCAAGTCTTCCCCTGGTTCCACGGGCTCCACCCCCATAACCATATCCAACAAGCTTTCTTTATCGCCCGCCACCGTTCTCTCCGGAAGACGCCCGCCTGCGTTCGAGGGGTCACGCTCGTCAAGGCCGACGGCGATCTGAGTGTTGCCCGTCTCAAGGGTGCCATCGCCCCGCAGGAGTTCATTCATCTGACCGCGGCCCCCGAGTTCCTCGATGTTGACCCCCGCGATGGCTTTTGCGTCAGGAACTTCCAGATTCAGGCTGCCAAGGCCGCCATGATCTCGGATATCGTCGTCTATGGGGAGGAAGACGAGGCTGTTCGCAAACTCGGTCTCGATATTGCCACGGCACAGCTTCGCTGGCGACAACGGCACGAGACGCAAGGCCACACCATCCCGGAATACAACACCTTTCTGTGCGTGGCCCCGTTTGAGCATTTCGAAAAAGACCACAACGAGATTGTGGCCGTTGATGCCCAAGGCCGACTTACCGGCAACGTCCTCGACTTCTTCCACCAGGAGCGCAAGGAAATGTGCAACATGACCAAGGCCTCGGAAATATCCCACAATGTTTGGCTGGGCCCGACACCGGACCCCGCATCCGGCGAGGAAGACCAGTTCGACGTCCTCATCGAATGCAGCGACGTTGGCCGGCTGAACCCGTCCACGCTGCGCGCTTTGGCAGTGTCGAGAGTCGAACCTGCTCAACGACCATACATTGACTTCCCCTCATCTGGGAGCATCCTGCCGCCAACATGGTCACAGGCCGAAGCCGATAGTATCCTGGAAACTTGCAAGTGGATTTACCATTTAGCCCACGGTACGCTTCCGGTGACAAGCGGACCCGGCATCGACGTAGATGGCGACACCGACATGGATGAGCAGGGCGGCTCATCTCTCGTGAACCTACGACCAAGGAAGATTCTCATTCACTGCGCCGACGGATACACAGAGTCCACCATGCTCGGAATCGCCTATTTCAGCTACAGCACTGGGCAGGGCATCGCTGATGCCTGGCTTCACTTACACACTAGCAAGAAGCGCAACTTTTTTGCCTACCCTACTGACGTAGCTCTTCTCACGTGTATCGAGGCCCGCCTGCTTCATGAGTCGCCCCTTCACTCGGGAAAGGGCCTTCGTGAAATCACGGCTTTGATCAAGGAGCCGTCGTGGCTGCCCGGCTTGGACGGCTCCTTGCCCAGTCGGGTTCTTGATTACATGTACCTCGGCAACCTTGGTCATGCAAATAACCCCGACCTCCTGAGGGCCCTGGGAATTCGTCAGATCCTCAGTGTTGGTGAGACCTCGATGTGGAGGGAAGGCGACTTGGAACAATGGGGCCCGGAAAACGTCTGCGTTGTCCAAGGCGTACAAGATAATGGCATCGACCCCCTGACAGACGAGTTTGAGCGATGCCTCGACTTCATCGGTAAGCCGGCAACCCCCAACAAATCCCCCCCCCCCAAGAGGAGGGCGCGCGTTGCACAATGCAGAAATGGTGCTGACCCGCTTCACCTCTAGATCGTGGCCGGCAGAATGGTACAGCCACGCTGGTGCACTGCCGAGTCGGCGTATCGCGGAGTGCAACCATATGTATTGCCGAGGTGATGCGGTCGCAATGCCTCTCGTTCCCTAGGGCGTACTGTTTCGTCCGAGCCCGCAGGCTCAACGTCATCATCCAACCTCACCTGCGCTTCGCCTATGAGCTTCTCAAGTGGGAAGAGCTAAACCAGGTGAAGAAGAACGGCCCGGCGGGCATCAAGCGGGAGCTTGAATGGGGTGAGATCACTCGCGAGATCGCGCTCATGAATCGTCCGTACGCTAGATGATGGCAGCAGACGAACCCTCGGCGACTGAACATAGGATCGCATTTTCCACGCTGGTCCACTTCGACCAATCTTTTTATTTCGAATTCTCAAAATAGCCATCTACTTGGCCACGTTGATCGTGGGATGCTTCCTATTATCACATGTGGCATCTGCGATGCATCATTATAATGGTTGGCAGATGGAACAGCGACAGGAGCACCAGCGTCCTGGCGCAGGAACCCTTCTAGCTATGTTCTCTGGAGGAGCAGCAAATCTCACACACGGCATGGTCTGCGCGGAACTTATGATTTGACGGAATGGTGCTTTCGACCCATCGGACTCATTCATTGACTGGACTTTGGGGTCTCTCGGGAAAGGGGATTGACTGACAGGAAAGGCGCATGGTTTCTTTTACGCTTGGTTGGGCTTTAAATGTTCTTGGGAAACTCGGAGAAGATCTTGCCTCGCCATGTCGCACAATCGTTCAAAAGGGGGGATTCAAAAGGGCTCAGCCACACATGGCTGTTGGCAATGACTAACGACAATACCAATGCTTTTGGTGGCGAGAGAGGAAGAGCCCTTGGAGAGAGGCGACGCCTGAATACCGAATACGGTTTCTGATAATATATGCACGGTTGCCGTATGATATCCTGCTTGTTCATCATCTTTCGTGATAATTGATCCCCCCGTGATCTCCCAGCTGGTATCTTTGACCCCTCTTCATGTCAAATATTTGCTAGGTCCAATTGCCGATTTAAAACACACCAGACGCGCTTTTGGGAGGGGGTTTGTGTTTATTGGTCATTTATTAACAGTTGAGCCCTGAGAAGTGTATAGTAGCTTCACATTACGCAGGTCAAGAATGCAAGGTGCTGTAGACCCCTTCTCCATGAGCCAATCAAACCCTCTCACGAGTAACTGGAGGGTGAAACAGAAAAGAAGAATGTAAAGAGTGGCCAAACGCCTCCTAATGCAGAGCTGTCCTTCCTCCCTTCCCGACACGATTTCAGCAATCATGACCGTACCGTACCATGTCCACCAACAACATCCCCCACTCCAGCGGGCGAGCAACGCTTTTACGTTCCGTATGATGACGCGTCCAGCTTGTCATCACCATCAATCACTCTGTCACAGGAACTAGTTAGCGGCCAGGGGTAACGCGACCGAAGAGAGGCGGGCGACTCACGAGAACTGCTTCACCAGATAACCTTCCCCGCCGTGCTCCATGTCGATGTTGTACACGTAAAAACCGCCGTCGCTGGTGACAACCATTACTTGAGGGCTGCTGCTGCTCATGGCCACAACGCTTCGTAACGGGCCGCTGGGCAGTTGTAACCCGCCTGCGTTATTACTGCCTCGTACCGGTCCCGTCGGCGAGTTGGACGACTTTGGGATCTTGATGTAGGCAAAGTCCCGTAGGGGCTCCCACATCTCGGTCACAGTCTGTGGCAGGTACGAACCAACGACACCGGCCACGCTGCGACCCATTATCTGCGACGAGCGCCGAAGCATGCTGCTAAAAGAACCGCTTTGACGCCTGTTGACCTGTTGCGCGTTGCCGCCGCCGTTCCCCGGCCCGGCGGGCTCTGCCAGATCGCTTCTCGGAGACCCCGCTGCACTGCCCACAGGTGACTCGTTGGCACTGTCGTAACTGCGCGACCTAGACCAGCGATCCTGGCGAGGTGATGCCGGCGGCTCGGCGGCGGCTGCGGCCGAGTTGTTCCCCGGCGGAGGAGCCCCAAGGCGGAAAATATGGACCGTGTCGGACGTCGAGGAGACGCAGAGAAGCGTAGAGCTGAGGTTGAAGGACATACTGTAGATAGTGGACGGGTAGGTTCCCCGGCGGAACTGGTACAGCTTCTGGCCTCCGGGGACCGAGAAGACGCGGATGATGGTGCCGGTTTCACTCGCTGTCGCCAGAAGCGTCCCTTCGCTGTTGAGGCAGATGCAGCAGAGGGGCGAGCGGTGCGCCTCGATGACGTTCACGGCCTTCAGGGTGAGCGTGTCAAAAACCAGAACCTCCCCCGACGTGGGTGCAACATATGTTGACAGGGGAGGCGCATGAGCTGGTCGTTTGTCGCCTGACTCCTCACGAGGTTTCGGCAAGGGATACGCGATGTAGCAGTTCTCTGAGGAGGGCGACAGAGCGCAGATGGCACTTGGGTTCGGAGATGTGGGGATCGTGAAGAGAAGGCTCATGTTGGAGATGTCGTAAAGGTAGATCTCGGACTCGAGGACGACGGCGAGGCGTTTGCGATTCAAACGTACGGCAAGCACAGCAGATGGAAAGGTGAGCTCGCAGATGACCGAAGACCGCTAGTCAACGTCAGTATCAGCTTGGATCCCTCTTACAGGGGTCGAGTGCACGGCGAGGGAAGCGCCCACCTTTGTGTTTTGTATTATCAGATGTCGCGGCGAGAGAATCAAGGCAACAAGAGAGGTCGAGAACAGCATCTCGATAATGGCGATGTTTCCATCGTCGCTGCTGAAGATTTTGGAGAAGGGGTCGGTGTGGTAGATTCGGAAGCCTTTGGATGTGCCTGTTGGGGCGTAGAGCGAGCCAGCCCGTTAGCCCAGAACTGCAACCCGACGTAGCGGAAGACAAGCGTGCGCGCGGAGGGGATCCATACCGACAGCCAGACAGCTGTGGTCCTGGTTGAAGGTAATGAAGTTAAGAGCGGTGTTCGCCATGATGCGCTGCTCGGACTGCGACTTGCTGCGTGTAATGTGCTCAGTCGGGTTTTCGAACAGCAGGATTCTGTGTCGCCCGGGCGGCGCCGGCTTGAAGGAGGACCAGATGAGGAACAACCACTGTGGTGATTCTGGGTGGACTTCGCAGACTGGGATACCCGCAACGCTTGGTCGTCGCAATGAGGTCTCAACGAGTTGTTTGCAGACAGCGGGATATCAGGGCCCAGTGCAGCGAGCAGTCGAGATATCGGTGGTACAGTCAACAGACGGGGGACCAGAGATGATGGCGTGTACGATGTACGGCGGTGGGGTTCGGATCAGATATCAACACACTCAGGATATGATCAGCTGCTTGGTTCGGGGCGGATCACTGAGGGTGGTCGGCACGCAACGAACTTTGGATGCCAGCAAGTCCGGCAGAGGGGCGATAGAGGTCTCGAGGGCGTAACGGCCGAAAGGAGAGTGAATAGTACCGATCAGAGTGTGGTTGAAGTTGTGGAGCAGGGCGGCGCCCCCGGCGAGGAGCAGAAGGTGAGAGGTGCGGTCGTGGTAGCGGTAGCGGTTGCGGTTGCAGTGCGGGCGAAGGTGAGGTCGGGTCAAGCAAGGTCAAGGTTGATGTAGCTCTCTCAGCGAAGAGTGGATGTGAATGGAGGAGACATGGACCTGGGCGGCCCCCCAATCCCAATCCAGTGGGGGCGGCGGGGAAGCTATGTAATCGCGTTGTCCCAGCGTCCTATGCCTGGAGGGCACCGGGCAAAGCACCTGCAGCAGAGTGTCTGCGTGCGGCAGAAGTGGCACGTGTGGCTGGTACGCCGGGCAGCTTCCGTGGAGCAGATGGTTAGGAAACCCACTACGCAAGATGACCCAGGTACCTCCCACCATGTCTTATCGATAAGGGAATCGAAAGAGGGCGGGCTGCCCTTTAACCAGCAAAAGACACAACTACAATAGGGTGAGAGGTTAGCCCTTGGATGAGATAGATCCCTTGGGCCTCTGGAAAATGCTTGATTGATTTATACACGATGCGAGAGGTCTCACTCGACCAAACTTCCAGAGGCTATTTTCACAACAAGACGGTATCCGTCGCAAGAAAATTCGTCCGGACGATTGTAATGGAGGCTTGGAGTTTGACCCCATAATGACTTGTGTGTGTGTGTTTCTCCTGGGGGTTTTTCCCTATCTGGAAATTGTCCTCGACACCGAAAAAAATTGGCAGCGCCCCTCTGTCAGGACTTGTGCCGTCGCATTCCACAGACTCCCATCTTAGATCCAAACCTGCCCTGTGAGCGACGTGAGTCCCAACCCGCCCAGGATGGCACCCTCGGCTCAAAAGGGTCGTGGCACTCAAGCTTTGGACGACCTCATTATGGCTGTGAGTTGGATCTCGACGCCCTTACCCAACAGCTATCGCGTTCCGCAGCTCGGGTTGTCATATAACGCAATGCTCACACCCCCCTGCAACTAGACAAACAGCAGTTCGATAGTTTCGAAACGAAGTGTGGTATGTTCTGTTCTCACCTACCTGGCTCGCCAATAAGAGAGTGCTTATCGTACCAAGGAACGTCTCTACTATCCCGATGAGCCGCACTACTTCCGTTTCTTTGTCAAGAAGTTCCAGCGAAGGGCTCCCCTCATCAACAGGGGCTACCACCTGCGCCTGAAAGTCATTGATACTCTCGTGCACCGCTTTCTCCAGAAACCCTCGCTCCGTAAAAAGGTTGTCGTCAACCTTGGCTGCGGAAGGTAAGGTCTCGTATTCTGAACTGCCCGTGTAACCGTTGCAGAGCTGAGTCTGTGTCATTAGCGATGTCTTGCCCTGGCAGTGTGAGGTCCGCTATCCCGAATCATGCCGGGACGTCACCTTTGTCGACGTCGACTATCCGGATCTCATTCGGAAGAAGCGTCAGATCGTCCTTGAAACCCCTGAGTTGCAGGGCCTCCTGGGGTCCTGGGAGGTCAGCCACGACTCCCCTGTTGTCCTCAAGAGCCAAAGATACTGTCAGGTAGGTTGTGATCTTCGGCAGCTGGCAACTCTGCAGAGGTGCCTGGATACCTTGTTCGACATTTCCAACACGGAATTCCTCTTTGTGGCCGAAGTTTCCATCACCTACATGGATACCGAAGGTGCTGATGGAGTGATTAGCTGGGCAAGCGCCTTCAGACATGGTAAAGTGCTACTACTTCTGGCCCTTCTCGTGGAGTCGATGTTCTGACCAGGCACGCAGCCGAATTCTGTCTGCTGGAACAAATCCTGCCGGATGGACCCGACCATCCCTTCGCGCACACAATGCTCAAGCATTTCGATAAGCTCAATACACGACTGAAATCGGTCCACCGTTACCCTACCGTTGCTAGCCAGAAGAAGCGTTTCGAGTCTCTCGGGTGGCCGTCGACCGAGAGCTGGACACTCTGGGAGACTTGGTCTGATGATCTGTTCATGACTGCCGCTGAGAGGAGAGCCCTCGACACCGTCGAAGCCTTTGATGAGTGGGAGGAGTTTGCACTCTTCGCCAGCCATTATTTTGTCATGCTCGCCTCCACCTCCCACCCCGAAGTCGACGGGCACGTCTCCAGGCCTCTAGCGGAACTCAGCGTTCAGTCCTACCAGTCCCCCATGAGCACAAGCGTATACGAGGCTGGCAGAGGACATCGACGGTTTGGCGCTGCCATGCTCATCGAGAACCCAGACGGGCAGGCGCTCATCTCGCACAACTTCGGACAAGGTCCCAACGGTCGACTCAACTCCGAAGACTTGTATCGGATTTCCAGCCACCCTGTCGCATCTTGTTCACCCAGAAAGGGACCGTCGGGGCGGGTCTGTCACACCCTCACAGACTTGGGCAGTGCCGGCGCTCTTTTGGCAGGTGGCCGTGCATCACCATCGACCGCCTTCAAGGACTGCTGGCTTTTCAAAAAGGTGTTCAATACTTGGGAGCGAGTAGAGGACCTTCCGTCTCCCCTTTTCAGGCACTCTGTCACTCGATTGGGCTCATCATCTCTCGCCCTGCTGGCCGGTGGAAAGACGAATCACTTCCGAACATCGGCCGAATACCTCCTCTTCGACCCCACAAAGGGCTGGTCCAAGTGCAGGACACGATCCGCGCCGTCTTCGCTGTACGGCGCCACCTTTGTCTGCACAGGCAGTAAAGGACCTCGCACTTTCGAGGGGTTTCTTATTGGAGGTAATCTTGAGGATGGCACAATCAACCAGAACATCCACACATGGAAGCTGGATCTGTCCGAAACCGAGGTAAGATTGTCGCAAGCATTGGATAGTTTCAAGCGCTTACAGTCTCAAACAGCCCTCTCTGGCATTTGTGCAACAGATACCTCAAGACGAGCGGGTTCCCAGCAGTCTTTCGAGGTTTGGATCCATCGCTGTACAGTCGAAGAACGGGTACGTCATTCTCTTGGGCGGCGTGATCAAAGACGTACAACTTCCCTCGGCAGACGACATCCTTGTTCTCAGGATGACGGGAGGTCATATCGACGTGGTTGCCAGGCTCAACGGCACAGAGAGCTCCGGCGTAGTACGCCCATTCATTGTTGGGTCCTCCGTCGTGTCCTACGGAGAGGGGAACTTTGCCATCGTCGGCGGCGGCGCGACGTGCTTCTCGATGGGGACGTACTGGGCGGTGGGAAGTCACGCCTTCCACTTCGATGTCGACCGGCTTTCACCCCAGAGTGACATACTGCTTCCGTTGCCACAGCCCGAGCCAGTAAGGTACCTAGCAGCGGTGGAGATCACGGCGGGCAACAAAGAGAATGCCGCCGCGTCATGGGCCCCTGTCGAGAGGCAGGTCGTTCCTCGTGTTAAAATCGAGACCGCGGAGCATTTCCAAAAGTTACTCGAAGCAGGCAAACCTGTCGTCATTGAGGGGTCGGACATCGGTCCTTGCAAGTCCGCTTGGTCGGCTGAATACCTTATCAACAGTGTTGGCCCCGATCGCAAGGTCTGCAATCCACAGGAAGCACCATGAGTGGAGGGGAAGATAGTTATGGTGTTGTCCTCATGAGCCAAACTGACGAACCGCATCAGGTCTCTGTACACGAGTCCACCACTGAGAAGATGGACTTCACCGCCAAGAACTTCCGCTATGTTACCCAGAGCTTTGGAGAGTTCATCAGGCAAGCTCAGGACGGGAAGCGGTTGTATCTGAGGGCACTTTCCAGGGAAGAGCCGTCAAGCCTCCCCACCCAGCTCGCCGATGATTACCCGTCTTTGGCGAAGGATTTTGCTTTGCCACCTCAGCTTGGCTTCGTGGACAAAAACTCATTCAGCTCCGTGTTGCGCATCTCCGGCCCAGTAAACATATGGTTGCACTACGACGTAAGTTGGACCCGAAACGGCCCGTGATGGACATGGATACGGCGCCCTAGATTTCTAACATCACCACCGTACCTAGGTCATGGCAAATGTGTACGTCCAAGTCAGCGGCTCCAAGCGTCTGATCCTTTTCCCCCCTTCAGACGTATCCTACTTGTCCTTTGCCCCAGGCGCTTCGAGCTCTGGTGTCGACGTCTTCTCGTCACTCGACGCGGGCTCTCTGAGAGGTGTCCATCCGCACGAGGCTGTCGTCGGGCCTGGTGACATTCTTTTCCTCCCGCCACTCTGGCTCCACACCGCCACACCCACGTCCGACATGAGCGTCGCCATCAATGTTTTCTTCCGCAACCTGGAAAGGGGATACTCGACAGGGAGGGACGTCTACGGGAACCGCGACCTAGCCGCTTATGAGAAGGGGCGCCAGGATATCGCCCGCGTCGGCAGCAGCTTCAGTAATCTACCCCCGGACGCTCGGGAGTTCTACATACGGCGCTTAGCGGATGAACTGCTACAGTCCACAACGAGTCTATAGAGTAATAAAAAAGACAGTCGAGCGAAGCCATGGAGGCCATTCTGGGTCTACGTACATTCAACCGTGAACGCCTTACGGCAACCGCCTGAGCCGCCGGCTTATCCACCTGAAGAATCCCTTGACATCATTGCCCAGGCCCTCCTGGTTTTCTCTCGCCCTTTCAAGCCCACCCCGCCTCATACCTCCAGGGAGACAAAGCCACAGTAGTAGGATGAACACCAGTATGGCCAGGATGATGGGCTGCAACACTTGAACACCTTTTTTCTGTGCAATGGCCCCGATGGCGAACGGGAAAATGGCAGCACCGCCCCCGCCAAAGGCGGCGGCAAAGCCGATCGCGCTGACGTGGTAGTCGTTGGGGAGCAGTTTGGTCGCGGCGACGATAGCAGCAGGAAACAGGGGTCCAAGAAAGAAACCGAGAAAAGTGACGAATATGACGGATGCGACAAAGTTGGGAACCAGCCAGTAGAGTAGCTCGAGCGCAATGGAGATGGGCAGGTAGATGGCGATGGCGCGCTTCTCTCCTATCCGTCCCGTTATGAATCCCAGCAAGACCCGGCCTATGGTGAGCCCTAGCCTGGGACAATAGGTGTTAACACAAAGAGCGCGGCCAGTAGTCGGCTCCCAGAGCAGAGAACGGGATTCTTACCAAAACAATACCACCGTAACGCCGGCCAGGAAAGGCTCGGCATGCCTAGCGCGCAGCATGAAGGTGACAATCCAACCACCCAGGCTGACCTCGGCCCCGACATAACCCAGCAGGAACAGGGCCAGAAGCCAGGTAATGGGCTCCCTCAGCACCGTCCTTGTGGTCGTCCTCTTCTCCCCAGTTGAAGACCGGTGAGTCTCCCTGTGGACTCTGCCGGTGGCCTTCCAGAAAGCCGTCGTGGCAACCAAGAAGTCAACTACCGTCACGCCGATCATGACGTAGTAAAAGGTGTACCACGACAGCTTCTGGCCCCTGGCTACCATGGCCGAGGCGACGAGCGGGCCGATGGTGGCCCCCAGGCCATAGGCGCCGTGCAATATCCCAAGAAGCTCGTTAGCGTTCTGCATGTTTCCGATCCAGGCGTTCCAGGCGCTGTCCTCGAGACCATTGCCGAAACCGGCAAACAACAGGACTACAGGAAGGGCCGGGTACGGAGGGTGAAGGGCAAGGGGAATATAGCCCACCATGCGGCTGACGGGGCCCAGCACGGCGACGCCTCGCTGACCGAACTTGTGGTGGATGAGGTTATTGGAAAGGGCCGCCATCAGATAGCCGATAAACGGCGATAGAAAGAGCAGGGCCACGACGGTGTATGTGATGCTGTAGTAAGCTTCAATCTGGACGAATAACATTAGCCATAGGAGTTCCTCGGGCCGGCTCTCAGCCTCGTAGACTTACATATGGGATCAGTGCCTACACAGGAGCTGTTAGTCACCGGTCGTAGGTCTCCTCCGACAGACGGGGTGGCGAACTTACACCGATGGCGGCATCGTTCATGCCCATGATGATGAAGCTCCAGAGAGTTACAAAGAACCGATACGAGTTAATGCGAGTTCCGTTCCACCTCTCCAGTCCCTCCTCGCGAGGCGTGGACGGGTTTTCTTCCTCGGCCACGCCCAGGATAGGCGCTACAACGGCTTTATCGGCCATGGCGCAATCGAGACCGGGAGGGACGATACTCGAACGCTGGGTTCCTCTTGGTGGGTGTTGTTGTCGTTGTTGGTGTTGTGCCGGCACAGAGAAATAGAAGAAGAAAAAAGAGTAACAGGAAGTCGGATGAAATGTATCTTGGCGAATTGTGTCATCCACAAGACTTGCCAATACTGGTGGGGCTGATGCAGCACGAAGCGGTCGCTGGGCTTGGGGGCCACAGGTTGCCCAATGGCGTCGGGACACCGTAGTGGGCCGCTCGTGTTCTTCTGAAGCGGCATGCAGCCGATGGTTAGCCAGGCCGGCACGGGCGACCGATCGATATCGCGAATGAGAAGGAAGGCTCCCGTCCGGCGGGTGGCGTTGAGGAATGATGAGTGAGGAATAGTTGGTGGTTGAGACTAGTGTATGTCCGGAGTCGGTACCCCGCTGTGGGGCCGGGTATCAGTAAATCAGTAACCGGCACTGCTTTCCTCCAGCATGTTCGGCTTTCGCAAGCGCTAACAGGCTGTGAGCTTCGCCAGCCGAGGTATCCTTATTGGGTGAGAGGAGGCGGCTCATTTTCAACGCCAGAAGGTGTTAGCGAAGCTTTGTCTCACACCGGGAGGTCGACTCTCTCCGGTGAGTCTCGGAGTGCATCGTGAAAAGCCTGCTGATGTCGCACCAGCAGGAAGCTTCGTGGATCAGGCCAATGAGGGGGGCTTTTACAGGGTCATGCTCCCCATTGGTACACGTGCAGAACAGGAAGATGGAGCCACGCTTTGGCGGTCGTCTAGCCCCCACACACATACACATCGTTCTGCCACCTCTGACTGACTCGCTTTTCTCTCAAGCAGCGCCAGCCCTCCGCAGCTTAGTTCGCGACGTGGAGAGTAAAACGATTGCCGAAACATCCTGTGGGTCGATATGGATGAGGCTCAGCCTGGGAGGTGCAGACGAGTTCCGCAATCCTACATCTCGAAGCTTGCCCAAGCCATTGGCGACCTTGGCCGATTTCGCTCCTTATCAAGGCCAGTTTTCCATCCTCATTGCTACCCACACAAGCGCGACACACTTCCAGCACGTTCCAAGACGTGCAAAGTCCATTGATGCTATGTGCCGGCCTGGGTGCCGGCCTCGCTGCTACACCCCCGAGCTCCCGCACCAGGCAATCCACCATCATGCGTGACATCATTACCTACCGCACCTCGTGATTAGGGGAACCTTGGCCTGGCATCTCGTAGGAAACGCGATTTTTGTGGCGAGATCCCAAGGAGGAGACACGGGTGTCACCCCGCTCGATTCTTTCAGAAACAAAACCCAAGGGCCTCCAACTTCCAACCAGTCCAGGCAGGGGGGCTACGCATTTCCGTCACAAACGGCACAGATATACTCTACCCCAAGCCGTTCCGCGTCCCGTGCCAGCCCCGGTGCAGGCAATAGCCGGCTGCTTACACTGTCCGGTTTGGTGACCTCTCGCTGCGTCTGTATCTGTGGCCATTCTCTTCCTGCGACTCTTTGACCCGGCCGTTAGCACCGAGCTTGCATGAGCTGAAGCTGCCACGAATTTAGGCCAGAGTACTTCGTCTTTCGCACCCTCTCGACAACCTTTCCTTCGGTGTTGACGACAGAAAGTAAGCCTTGGAAAGGGAGAGTCTTGACCTCCGCAGCCTTTCCACCTGCGGTCGTCCTCCCCATTCCGCCTACGACTCCGCTTGGCCATACCAGAAAACATTTTTCTTGTTACCATTTTGCATCAAAAGGGTCATTGCTTGGCTGCCCGGGCTTCTGGGCCGACATACGAATTTTTGTCAGCAGCAAGGTCAGCGGGGTTGTTCCATTCCACTCTATCTCTTGGCCGCCCACGTGCGACACCACCTAACCCAGCCATGCCCAAGTACTACGAGCGAGAAGTCCGCGGCGACTACGTCCGCAGCCCAAGCCACCACCACGGCGAACTGTCCCCGCTCTCACGGGAGCATTACCCCGAATACCACTCCGGTGGCGGCGGTCCCATTCAGGTGGTCTACCCGGACCCCCGAGGGCATGTTCCCGTAGCTGGCGGTCCCTACGTCTCGGGCGCCATTCCCGCCGACGCCTCTTCTCCGGTCTACCCATACTATGGTCCCGAATCCCCGCTCTCGCCCCGCGACGCAAACGCCCTCCAGATCCCACCCCATCCCCGCCATCGCCCTCGCTCTCTACCTCCCCAGGCCTTCGCACTGGGCCGACCCCGATCCCGCTCGCGGCCCCGGAGCCCCATCGGCAAGGCCCGCCATGCCATCGACAACACCTTTACCCAGTCCTCCTCCGGCATCGGCGTCGGCCTGTTGGGCGCCGTCATTGGCGGGCTGGCTGCGCGCGAGGTCTCCGACGCCACCGTCCGGACCCGCAACCGCAAGGAGATGGAAAATGGCACGTACCGCCCGCGGTCGCCCCGAGAGATTGAGAAGGCGCGTGTGATAACCACCGTCGTCGGTGCTCTCGTCGGCGGCCTCGGCGCCAACGCGCTCGAGAGACGCTTCGAGGTTGCTCGTCAACGGGACAGAGAGCAGCAGGAGGCCTGGGAGAGAAAATGGGGGAGGGAGCGTGACCTCCCACACTACGACACAGGTAGGGACCACGAGCTGGACCATGGCAGGGGACGTCCCCGCAATCGGCGTCGTGATGAGTGGGACGACGGCTATTTTCGGGACCACCCTTACGACGACCGGCGTGCAGGGAGGTTGAGGAGCGAAGAACGATACACATACAGGAACTGATGATGTTGGGGGTTCGTCTCGTCTTAGTTGTACTTGTTTCGTTTCCATCTTGTTTTGCCTAAAGACCGCATGACGACTTGATGATTTACGTAGACCTTTGTCATAAAGCTTCTGCAACCCACAGGCGGCGGCAGTTTGGAGGGGGTTTCTTCCCGGGCACCGATATCCATGTTCAATGTCAGACACCAACGTTCCATGTCCCCCAACGGTGATCATGTGTCGTCCCTGATCCGTCGTCTTAACAAGGCGTTTTCATGTCTACAGAAAGAGTCATACATCATAGCATCATTTGCTGCCCCGCATGCGGCGACTGCTCCTTCTCGCGTCACCGACTCTTTCTCCGAGAGAAAGATGCAGTAGGGCCATTCCGAAGCCAGGCAAGCCAGACTCTTCGAACGTAGGCTCCCATGGGCAGGGCTTTTGTCACTAAGACAAGCTCGCCTGTAGCTGACTCCTCGCCCACCTCTCATTCGTTGTGGTTCGTGTATCCCTCCATCCCACTCGCGTCCAAGGGTCCCCGGCGAAGACACCATGCCCATTACCTCACACGAAGCACTGAGAAGGTCAGATCGTGATATCTCTTTCAGTTGTTGTAACGGAGAGTCTCCGTATTGACGTCGTAGCCTTCGGGTATGAGGTGGAGACCGCCGTACGGATCCACACCCTGTGCTAGGTCTCTCGGAGGTTCCCATTGCCGGTCGCCTTGGTCATGCGGCAACGTCTGGGCTGCGCTTTCGCGCTCTAGCTGTGCTCGGTAGGCCTGCTCTCTCTCCACAATGACCTTGAAAAACTGGGCTATCTCGGCAATGGCAATTTGCTGGGCCTCGGAGCATCCGATGGTGTTGCAGAGAGACTGGGAATCGACGAGCTGCTTGGCAATTACGGAATCCGGCTGGCAATGGGTACGGATGCGCAAAGACCGAGCGTTGACCTTCATCGCGTGAAGCAGGCCGGCGATCTCCAATGGGTTGCTCTGACGACGGCCGAAGAACCGGAACTCATCGATGTGGAGGTGGATAAGCTCGAGCTGCGTCTCCAAGTCGTATCGGAAGCCCACGACTCTTGGGCGGCCCTTCTGGTTCCATCCGTCTGCAATCTTCTTGAGCTTGTCCGGGTTGAGCCGGCCATGGTTCAGTTCATTGGTGATGTAGTTGTGCAATGCGTTGCTGATGTGGAACTCGAGCTCGCAGTAAAGAAGGCTCTGCTCGCGAGGATCGAGTGAGATTGTGACTCTCGGCACTTTCCCCTCCCGCTCCGTGTCTCGCGGCCTTCGGCCTGAAGATTTGCCCTCGGTCTGTTAAGATTGTTAGCTATGAGCTCTGGAATGTGAGCGCCGCGAAGATGCCTACCATCTCCCTGGCAATCTTTTTGAGGCTGTCCAGAAGACCCGGTTTCTTGGGCGAGCTGTCCTTCTTCTTGCGGTCCAGGGATTGGTTGGGCCGCTCGAGCCACCCTTGTTCCCCGATCAAGGTCTTGCCGGCGATCTTCTGCACAGGGAGCTCCTTATAGGCGAAGTAGGGTCTGAGGGGGGAGTACATCTGGCTGGCGTCCATCACCGGCTGCCTGAGGGCTTCCAGTCTACCCTTGTGCGGACCATGTCCCTGGGTGTTTCCTCCCCAACTGGCCATGCCAGGAGCCGGCGCTGGGATGTTTGGATCTTTCCAGGCACTGGAGGACTGCAACACGTTCTCAATGTGTTGTGAGATGTCGTCCTTCTTGAGGTGGAGGGGGCTTGGCCTGCCTTCGCTCTGAGAGTAGATAGAGGATGAGTCTACCGGCTCGATGCTTGCGGGAGACGGCACCTCCGGTGTCATAGGCTGTGGGACAGGAGACGCGCTCTCGGGATGGCCAAGAATAGTTCCATGTTGCCGGATGTCATTGATGTTGACTGGTGTCGGCGTATTTTGTCGGCGGCGCTCGGCGAGACTCGACGCTAGAGAGCCCTTGGCTTTGTGGTTCGAAGTCGGCATCAACTCCGAAAAGGTTGTTGAGTCACTTTCGCGGAGGGGCATCTCATATCTGCTTCGGCCCTTTTGGGCTTGCAAGGGAGAACCCCCGTGGCCGATGCCTCTATGAGCCTGGGCGCAATCAAAGTCGTCATTTCGTACAGGCGACCTGGCTCGACTGGAGTTGTCGACTCGTCCGCGACGGGATGGCGACTCGCTCTTGTTCGAGAATCTGGCAATGTGTCAGCTGAGAGTTATGCATCATCTCGGTTTTGTTTCTCACACGTCTGTCAGTCGGTCCACCTGATTCTCAGTCAAGTTCAGGTTGATCTGAACAGATTTGTTTGCCCTGTGTTTCTGTGGCGATGGCGACCGATACTTCCTGGGCGAGACTGGAATGAAGTTGCCTTTAATCGCAGAAGGCACCGGCCCTCGGCGTTGGCCTCCCGATTTCTCCGAGTTCTGGATCATGATGGGGAGGTCGGTCGACGTTGTTGATGTTGTGTCTCGAGTATGATGCCGGCTTACGGAGCGAGAACCCACGGATCGCGATGTCCGACGGCCTCTCGATGCGACGAGATGCCCGATCCTTGAGCGGAACGAGTCGTCGTCAAACTTGGGCGCGTCCTGTTGGACGGTGTGCGGTGGTGAGAACAGAGGCTTCTGGAAGATAAGCCCGGGAAACGGCCCGACCAGTTCGGGATCCTCGAACTGGTTCGCCTGAAGCTCTGCTATCCAAGCCTCGACTCGGGTACGATATGGCGAGGGATCTGTGGTGAGAGAAAATTCGTCTTTTAGCGTGTTACCTGGATGAAGCAAAGCAAAAAGGTGATGGTGGGGCGAGAGGAGCGGTTCCTTCCTGGATGGGTGGGCGAGGCAAACGCGTCTGTTGACTTACCTCTTTGCGGAAATTCTGCCTCTAAATCAACCGGGTCTTTGGCCGGGTTCAACGCTTGGTTCGGTCCTGTTGGTTGAAACATATGAACAAGGCAGTCTGGTTTGGCGGGACGCGGCGGGATGAAGAGGGATGAGGAACAACGACAAGGTAAGAGAACGCCGCGCATGCTACCGCTCTACGTACCTCCCTCGAGAATTTGTGAGGTATCATGCTCCTCATAGTCCTCGCCTGACATTGCCGAGTCCCCGCCACTACATGGCGGACTGCAATTCTTCGGAATAGCCAATCCAGTCTCATGATCGCCAGCTAAAAACAAAGCAAAAAAGTAAGTACACGGCTCTTATAGTCAGCTGCCCAAAGACTCACAGTAATGGCCCGATAACGTCGAACTTCCATCTAGGCCTTGACCCGATGGAGGAGATACGCCAGCACAACTGAGCCCGGCGTCTGATCGCGTGTCCCCTTGGCCGCTGCGTGCCTCTGACGCTTGATAGTCATTGTAGGATGCCCACGAACCATTGGCGGATCCCGGCAGAGAATAATCGCTTTCAACGTAGGCATAAAATTCCGAGAACGACGGTTGATGCCGTGCTTGAGCATCGCATGTTAGTGCCAAGAGCGCCGGCCTGGCCAGACAAGCAGAGGGAGGGCATGCCTACCAGACTGGGTGGTGTTTTGCCTCGACGATGAAGTCGGCCTCGAAGTCGCCCCAGATTGAGACTCCTTCCCCGAGCGGTCGCTTGAGGCCATTCCGCTGGAACAGGTCGGCCGTCCGACGTCGCGGAGGACGGGCTGCTGCTTCGTAATGGTCAGCTCCCGGGCTGTTCCGAGCATGGCTTCCGTGGCGACTTGTTGCACTCCGTCATCATCAGGAGGTGTTCGAGATTGGAGCCGGATCGGACCAGCGGGCTCGGTCGAAAGAGTTGGGCTGAGAAGTTGATCGAGCGATGGAGCATGCCGCAGATTGTGGGTCTGTACATTGACGATGCAGACAGGGTGTATCCTTGGATCATCGTCGACCAGCCATCGATGATCAGGAACACTACGCTCTCCGCCCGGGTTGGAGAAGCTGGCCGATTTGGGCAGTTGCTCTGAATGACGGGCAGCAGACCAGATGGCCAAAGTCTTCGAGCCAAGGTTCGCTGGCGCGTGAGATCCGTCTTGCTTAGCGGCAAACCCGCATTGGCCGCGCACCATGCTCCAGCGATGCACGCGAGCCACCTCTGACGGCTCCGGGTTGACACAGTGGTCCACGTTGCCATCAAGGCCAAACCAGTTGTTGCTAGGCGCAGGATGAGACTGGAAGTCGCGTCTCGTCGCTTCGCCGCGGGCGGTGCCCGGCGAGCTGACAGCGCCTGCACTTCGCGTATGGGGGATGTGGTTCGGTAGGTCTGAACCCGAGCGAACGGTATCCAGCCCAAACCAATCGTGACCCCGACGGGACCTCGGAGTTCTTGTTTTCCCGGGAGGCTCAATGTCGACCTGTCGGCAAAGACTGGTAGATCCGTGGTGGACTGCTAGGCCGTTTGCGCGGAGCGGTGCAGCAGAAGGCCCAAAGAAGACTTGGCAATGATCCAACCCGCCATCGAAGCCGAGCTGAGGGGTGAACGGGCCGCGAAACTCCTAGGAAGGACCCATCAATCCCTGCACCGCAGCATCCGCAAGGAGCCTCCTGGCCTTGATATCCGCGGTAGGCATAATATCGTGGGGGAGCGAAGGCGGCAAAGGCTGGTTGTCGGCTACCAAGGAGAACTTTCGGGCGAAGATCGGATGCGGCGTCACACAACCTTCGGGCAGCGGTACCGGCTTCAGATCAGGTGGTTCGCGCAAGGACAGAACAGTCTCTAGACCAAAAATGTTGGTAAACCAGACACGACGCCTGTTCTCGGGCCGGCGTCCGCGGGATTCTGGGGCGCACAAGCTATCTAGAGCGCGGAGCACAGACATTGGTCTCCTCGCACCCGGGCCGACCCGGCTTCCGTCGATATCGGTGATGTCGTTGCCGTTGCTCGTGTCCGCCTCTTGGGGTGGTGGAGCGGCTGGGACAACTTGCTCCTTTTTGACCAACCTTCCCGCCCCACCAGTGCCGATCTGCCATTGCATTTCGTGTAACTCTTTGGGGCTGGGGCTGCGGAAAATACTGGTCCCGCCCTCGCGGGTAGAGACGTACATTGTGTGGTCAATCATCCAGACCTTGCGACTGCGGATGCAGCTCGGCTCGTTCGAGCTCACACGGCTCGAGGGGTAGTAGTCTGACAACCGAATGGGATATCGCTGCGGATGCTGTTGCCGCCACTGTACCAGACTCACCGTAGGTCGTATGGTCGTGGTAATTGTGGTCATGTGGGGTATATGAGGTAGTTCAAGGTTTGACTGTGCTAACCGTGTCAGTGGCCAGGAAGAAGCCGTAACAGTTGGCCGACTCACGTGTCGGTTGAGGTGGTCGTGCTTCCAGCGCTGAAATTCAGCTCCTGGGTCATCCGAATAGTCGCAGTCGATTTCGATCAGCTCGTAGAGCACGCCACCCGCCAGGTCCAAGTTTTCGTCCCCGAGATGCTCACGTAGGACCAAAAATACCTGTCCAATCAATGCGTTACTCGTCGTCCCAGCAAACAGGACACGGCTGAAAGCAGCCAACTCACAAGTTGAATACCGTCTCGGTATTGATAATTCCGGGGAATGTGAGCACAGTATCTAACAAGAACATTACGGCACTCTGCGAAGGCTCAGTACACATGCAGCCACGACGGACTACAGCAACCCATGGAGGGGCTTACTTTCTTCGTCATACCCGTCTCGCGTCAAGGGCTGGTTAGACAGGGTGTCCGCCATCTCCGCAAGCCTTTGGCGCCATTCTTCATTGTCTGCCTGGGCCGCGGTCTGGATGGACTCGACCCACGTCTGGAGGCTTTGGCGATTGCGCATCGTGAGGAAAATCGGGTAAGGTAGCACATTGAAACGGGCAGCGGAGACAGACCAGTTCTTGAGCACGGCGTTTCTGTAGGGTTGATACGAGTCGGCGCGCCGGTGCCGCTCTTGGTGACGCTTACTGCTGCGAACAAGAGGTTTGTCTGTCTAGCTGTTGTCGTAAGAAACCGAAACGCAGATATCAGGGTGGCCAGACACTCGATGCGTCTAGAGAGAAGGAAAAGGAGACCCTCAATAGCAGGCCACGTGCCCAAACAGGCAGCTGCGGCAGGCAGAAACTTTCCCAGAGTTGAAAAGATACCTACCTACCTAAGTAGATAGGTAGGGAAGGAAGGACATGCCATACCGCAAGGCATCGACTGTAGTAAGATAGGCAGCTACCGCGACGCGAAGGGGTATTACGGCATATCCTCCTTCCGCGTCCCTCCTGTCTTCACCGAGTAGATATAAACAGAGGAAACCGAGCAAGTACTTTCCGCTCCAGATATCTACAGATGTTGCATACGCCAGGGCACTTGACCGACCGTCATATCCAGGCAAACATACCTGAGCAACGGGCTTCTAGGAAGCAGTTCCGGCACTTCGCTTCTCGGAGACTTTGGACGCAAATGCCCCTCGATGGGGTCGGGCCAACTTCGTCATACCGGTCTTAATTCTTTGGCTTCGCAACTGATCTCCGCTTGAAGCCAAGAAGCCGAAAGTCAGGCGGGCCTGTACTCATTTGACGGCCCAGCTACGCAAGACGGCGGTTCCGGCCCGCCGGCCACGGACGTGCTCCAGCATGGGAAACATCAGACGCTAGCTAGCTCCGGCCGACCGGACGAGTCACTCGCAAAGAACCGGCAGATGGTGTTGGTGTCGTCCACCAGGAGAGTACGCGCCTTGGCCCGATGTCGTGCTGGGTAGATCCCGTCTCGGGACAGTTGGCTAGCGCGTTGGGAGCCACCATAGTGCGTTGCAGAATCTGCAACGGTATCGCCTAGCAGGGATACGTGTGCGATAGTAAAAGGCCTACGGGGCTGGCGATGAAACTGTCGGGGAGATCATTGCACCTAGCCTTGAGGCATGGCCGGGATCAAAAGAGGAGGCTAGTGATGGGCTGACGGAGTGCGCATTCTGAAAGGCAGGATAAGCAACTGAAGTTCGGACGACGGTCATCTCGTGGACCTTGTGGGCGGCTCCAGCTCAAAGTTGGACGAACCCAAACATCCAGCTCATGTTAACAGACGCCGCGGCTGTATGCCCAAGGCGCATCGGTTACCCAGCTGCGAACGTGAGCTCTTTACGGCCCTCGAATCTGAGTCTGAGCAGAGAAGAGACCGTCACGTGGAATGGGCATATGCTACTTACATAAGGCTCGTACCTAATTCGGTTGGGGTCCTCGGGTCGAAGTGCTCTAGGCTAGCTCGATGTGGTTAGCACTTTCCCCGCACTTGACTTCTCCAAATTCCAAGAGCCCCAAAAGGCAACCGAATGAGCTTGAAGTCATGCGAAGTGTGTGCCTTACCTCATCCGGGGACCCTGGCACTCTGGTCAGAGGTCCCGCCGGACCAGATGCCGTCTCCAACTGCCTTTTCGCCTGCAATTTGCGCGCCCATTGTCCACGGTTCCACCACCAAACTTGCCGACTTGACTTCCCGAGTCCCTCTTGTCTGGGTTGAGCTCCCCCCATGCAGGGATGATGAACCAGACAGATTGATGGACAGCCTCTCTCTCTTTCTCTTTTTCTCTCTCCGTCTGCCTCTATCTCTGACAGGTCAGCGCGTTTGACGGGTCTGGCTGGGCACGTAGCCGTTCTGGCCCCCTTCCAGTACGGGGATTTTGGAGTTCCCGGCTTGCGTTGCCGTCCCCAATCTGCCTCCCGAAGTCAATGCTGATTGAACCATCTCCCCGCTGTCCACCATAGCCGTCCCTCCTAGCCGTGTCCCACTTGGGAAGTTCGTGCCAGTCGATAGACAAACCCGTCGCCAGATATATAACCTACTCAATGTTTCCCATGTCTCTGGATGCCGGCTTTTCCTAAAGATCATTCTTTATCCGAACTCCCTCGTGATACCCTAGTACTGTCAAATCCCTTCCGTTGCCTACACCCTTCGACCCCACGAGATCTTGGCCACTTGCAAAACCAAGCCTTGCGCCTGCTGACCCTGCAATATGGAGACGCAACCCGACCGCCAGTCGAGCACTCTTTGTGATATAGGTAAGGACCTCTTCCTGGCAACCACATCGTCGAGCCGCGCGCTGACGCGCCCATGTCCGCAGTTATTGTCGGCGCCGGGCCCGTGGGCCTGATGCTGTCGACCATCCTGGCCAGATGGGGATACAAGATCAAGCACATTGATAACCGGGCGGAGCCGACGCCGACCGGAAGAGCTGACGGCATCCAGCCACGTTCTCTGGACCTTCTTCGCAACATGGGACTCAAGTCGGCCATCATGGCGCACAAGCCCGCCAGGGTTTACGAAGTGGCTTTCTGGGACCCGCTCAAGTCCGGCAGTGGAATCTCCAGGACCGGCACTTGGGCCAGCTGTCCCGACTTCATCGACGCTAGGTATCCCTTCACGACCCTCCTGCACCAGGGTCACATTGAGCGGGTTTTCATCAGCGACCTCAGCAAGAACGGCGTGCAGATCCAGCGACCCTGGACCATCACAGGATTCACCTCGGATGAGACCAAGAATCCTGAATACCCCGTGGAGGTCCGCCTGGAGCACGTCGATGGGACCGCCCAGGAGACGATACGGGCCAAATATTTGTTTGGCGGCGAAGGCGCCCGCTCGTTCATCAGGAGTCAGCTGCAGATCGGCATCAAGCACAAGGACCCCATCTCTCACGTGTGGGGTGTCATGGACGGTGTTGTCAAGACCGACTTTCCCGATATCAAGGTGAGCAACGTTGCAGAGGGCCACGGGCCAACGAACCCGTAACTGACAACCTCGCAGATGAAATGCACCATCCACAGCAAGCACGGGTCCATCATGGTCATCCCCCGCGAAGACAACATGGTCCGCCTGTACATCCAGATCGCGTCCTCGACGGACCCGGACTTTGACCCGCGAAAGACGGCCACCGAGCAGGAAGTGCAGGAATCGGCCAAGCGCATCCTCCAGCCGTACTCAATCGAGTGGGAGAGGACCGAGTGGTACTCCGTCTACCCCATCGGCCAAGGCATCTCCGACCGGTACACCCTGGACCAGAGAGTCTTTCTTGGTGGCGACGCCTGCCACACCCACAGCGTAAGTACTGCGCCGTTCCTGCGCCGTCCCAGCATCTGCTCCCCGTTGTTGACAAAACAACCAGCCCAAGGCCGGCCAAGGCATGAACACGGCGTTCTTGGATGCACAGAACCTGGCCTGGAAGATCCATGCGGTGGAGTCTGGTTTCGCGCGACGCGACATCCTCAAGACGTATGAGGAGGAGCGAAGGGACGTGGCCGAGACACTGCTCGATTTCGA